GTGCCTAAACCCCCGACATGTGAAACAATGCCATGTAAATAGTCAGAAATATAGAATTAGTCGAATCTTGTTTTAATAATCCAAAATGGATACACATTTGATAAATGTTGTTACATGTTGAATTTTCCAATGTTGAATGTTGTTACATGCTAAATGTTGAATGTTATTACATGCTAAGTATTGAATGTTGTTACATGCTAAATGTTGAATGTTGTTGCATACTAAATGTTGAATGTTGTTACATGCTAAATGTTGAATGGTGTTACATGCTAATTATTGAATGTTGTTGCCTACTAAATGTTGAATGTTGTTACATGCTAAGTATTGAATGTTGTTGCATACTAAATGTTGAATTATGTTACATGCTAAATGTTGAATGTTGTTGCATACTTAATGTTGAATGTTGTTACATGCTAAATGTTGAATGTTCTTACATGCTAACTATTGAATGTTGTTGCCTACTAAATGTTGAATGTTGTTGCCTACTAAATGTTGAATGTTGTTACATGCTAAGTATTGAATGTTGTTACATGCTAAATGTTGAATGTTGTTACATGCCAAATGTTGAGTATTATTTCACGCTAAATGTTGAATGTTGTTACATGCTAAATGTTGAATGTTGTTATGAAGCTACATGAAGGTGTATAAGTATACCAGTGTAACATGTTTTGTATAAAATAACGAAAAAATTGTGTTTTTGTGCACTAATCGGATCAAATTCAACTCAAAAACAGAAGCCACATTATTTATATTATGTACAGATTAAAATAAAAAATTGCAGCAAAGAGGGTTTGGGTGATCCTGGCACAGTCAGGCTGGTTAGGCTCATCATCAGCTCAGGGCCCTTGCCCCCTCTACACGCAGCCCAGACAGCAAAAGGGACTTTTTCCAGGCTGCACTGCCAAGTCAAACCCACTCAGAACTTTTCGGAATATGTATAGACTCCCTAAAACTGCAGCCTTCGGCATTACCCAGATTGTCAGATAGGCTGTATTTCTGGTAGCAAACCCGAGTACTCTCCCAATGTCAGTCAACAGATTGGGAGGTACCAAACCAAAGGCACCAAGAACAATGGGGAATCGGACAACTTGGTACTTGGGATGCAAGCGTGACATTTCGAAAGCAATGGACCTGTGTGTCAAAACCACAAGCATGGCAAAGACGGTACTAAAATGATCGAGCCACTCCATCATGTCGCTTAAGATACTGTGTTTGTGCCAAAGCTGGGCATCCATTGACAATGTATTCAACAGTCTCATTTAATTCATAACATCATCTACATTTCATGTTTACATTTTGATGCGAAATCACACACTGACGGTTTCGAGTGGGAAGTGACTGAGCAGCAAACAGAAAGCCTTTTGTTTCACTTTTCAGGCCAGCCGACCTCATCCAAGGGAAGGCCTCTACAGGGTTGCTGATCTTCTCAACACACTGCACATAAACTCGATGATCGTTCAGATAGTCTGGGACAATTTGATATGCCACATCACTTGGTGGACACACATTTCTGTACTGTCCAGAGACACCGTTACTAGAGACCTAACCCAGCAGAAACAGGTCAGGAATCTCAAATACTGAGGAATTAAAAACAGGTTCCAATATTATTATAACTTTTCCATGAATTTACCCATTTAAAAAAAATAATATATATTATATAAATTTCCCATGAGACTGCCATATGACATGATATCACCATACAAATATGACCCTCATACGGAAGTGTATCAGTGTGACACTTTCATCTACGTAGACGATACTTACATGCTCATAACGTTTATTCCTAATACAGGATATTTACCATCCCCAAACCCCCTTGCGTGATAACCTCTATCCTCTTCTTTCAAATTATTGACTTTGGTTACAATATTTTCTCGAGTAATTAGTTCCAGGTCAGTTTATATAACCTCTGGCTTAATTAAAATAATGACTGAACTGTTTGACTTTCAACCTTGACATGTCTCCATTGAGGCACTATCTAACCCATCAAGTAAGAAAGAGAAACTAGCACCAGGTCATGTGATATTTGACCAACTAAATATGTTCTGATTAGCTGATTTTCTAATTTGAAGGACTGTTAATGGATCCACATTAATCTTTTGGGTTAACATCCACGAGCAGACAGCGAGAAGGATGACGCCCGCCTCACCCTCTTTTATAACATTAATGCAGAGAGGAGAGTGGAAAATGTTCTCCAAACTACAAAGTCGACTTAGTTTTGAAATTGTTCTTAAACTCTTTTGAAATGGTGAGGTGAGGTGAAATGGGGTTTAACGTCACGTCCAAGATTATTGCACTTATAAAACGACGTGCATGCACGTGTATGTGTGTGTGTGTGGCTGCTTGTACTAAGCCGGACTGATGCCAATTTATAGTGCTAGCACACTGAGATACCATGCCGCAGTTAAAAATGAATACCCCACTCAGACACAGTATACTGACTCCGAGCCGACCAGTCCTTGTTTTAGCCCCTTAATGCCAAGCGCCAGACAGGGTAACAACAAGTACCATCTTTTAACGTCTTTTGGTATGACGCGACTGGGGATCGAACCCCGGACCTTCTGCTCTCCGGGCAGACGCTCTACCATTAGACCACTGAGGCGGACTCTTTTGAAATGAAACCATTATGACGATGTCACATTGTTACATTTGATTTTGAGGAATTCATTGGCCATTCTGATTGTGTAGTTTGTGCAAGTAAACCTGACACAACAATAGGTCATTATGCATATTGTAGTTAATGATCTATCAACCATAACAAGGTTAAGTTGGAGACATCTCTCAAATCTGTTGATTCTCATGATTTCTCTATAAGCAAATAAGGGTTAAGAGGTAAAATGTGAATATGAAGGGTTGAGAATCACTCAAAGTATAAACATTGTATCCAACCAATACTGACCATCATCATCATCATCATCATCATCATCATCATCATCATATGAAGCACGGAAGGAACAATTGTTTTGTTAAATTACTTTATTTGTGTTTTTATTTGATATTGAGTTTCACAATTTGAAATGATATTAGTATATTGTAAAAATACGGAAAAGGTCAAATGAATATAAATGACGATCATGCTCCTAAATATATTTAAATAAATTAATAGTAATTAAGTAATCACCTTTATTTATAATATAAATGTTGGTATAAACTATATCCAACTAGGGCCTAACTTCACAAGACAATGTCACTGTCTGAGTAATGATACCCACAATAATGTTATGATATACATAGATGAAAGTATTTTCTATATAGATGTGAGAAGTATCATCTACGTAGATGATATATTTTTTTTAGAATGTGTGCTTCCATTCCTTCATCTTATAACACAATACCCCAATAGAGCCGTTGTGTATTAAAGGATCTAATTTCCCTTAACTTATTTGTCATTATAAATGAAATATATAAAGGTCAGATCAATATTAAGACAAATTCGACTAAATTCTTCCTAAACAAAGACACATATGACATAAAAAAATTGCCACCAGATAAAACACTCCATTCATTGATCAGACTCTTCCTTAAACAATAATATTACAAAGAAAAGGTTTGAATGATGTTTGGATTAGCATTGAGAAGCATTATATTTTAAAATAAACAATGACGTTTTCCATGAATTTAACAGATAGAGCAGCTCTAACATAAGATACAACATGTCCATTCACCACTGCACGTCAGTGACTGGACTGACACCAAAGACTTGACAATACTGAGAAGCTACAGCATTTCAAACTATATTTTAAACTGTTAAAGGACAACATGCAATATACAGCTGTATACAAAAGACAGCAACAATGTATAAATACCTGATTGTATCAGTAATCCAAACTAAACAGAGTGAACGTCAGCTCCATTGAATCACGTGTATGTATCAATACTCCATCTACACAGGTAAGTACGCCGGTTGTAATCTGCTGCTTTACCATTCCAGCAGCATCCTAGTCAACGGCCGTCACAACATCAGCACCACCAACAAAACAGTCTCAATCAATACATCCCATCATCACGTCGCAGTGCACAGAAATCTTCAACAATCCACCATGTTTACTTTTTAATTATTTAGCAAATAAGTGTTTGTGATTACCAGGGTAACCGGTGACGCAGGCGTAGCGATGAGCAGATCAAGACAGTGATCAATAGTGAGATCTACAACCATTACCGCCATATCTCAGGTGGACATTATGAGATATAACACCCAGGCAGTAGGCACAGATATTGGCCACAGTCATAATGTTGGTGACACTTGGTGTGAAGATAACAGACCTATATTGGAATTGCTACAAATGGCAGCAGTTTAATCAATACAAATCTATGCGAGCATCACATCACATGCCGCTATGGCTTAATTATCACCAGCGCCACTGAAGCCGTATTATACGTGGACAAGTTGAGATTGCACATAATTTGTTTCCATTTTATTGATGGAGTTTGAGTTCTGTGGCAGGTCTTGTGGATATAATGTTAGATTAACTCGTGTGTATGTTGTGAACTATCTTAATTACTTCTTTAATGATACCTTTTTCTATATTTTCTGTCAATAGGAAATTTGTGAACGACTACTACCACTACTACTTCCACTTATCATCATCATCATCATCAACATCAACATCATCATCATGATCATCCATTTGCCTTAGGTTTGGTACCCCCCAATCTGTTGACTGACATTGGGAGAGTACTTTCTTTAAAACATAAGGGTATCAAGAAAAATGTATTGACTTAATACATACTCACATAATGCTACATGTAAACACATCACATACATATATTGATGGTTTCATGACTAATATATTTTTAAAACTGGAAATGGATGAAAAACATATGTCTGTATATATATGGTGTCTGCAATATTTGAGCAATCACAGGGACACCATGATGGGCTTCTTGCACTGAACCAAGGTTGGGAAACAAACCCCTGTCTCCACCATGACAAGCAGCTGCATTACCCACTCGGCCAACTCACCTGACTTGTGAAAGTCTACGACAAGAATTGTACTCACTTTTCCTGATCTGTTCAGCAAACTTGGAATCTTCTGTAACCACGATCTTCATGGTGCCATCGACCATCTGGAACCTCCCCCCTCCCCCCAGGACAGTCTGCACCACCTCCTCCACTGCCCTGCTATTCCCAGATCCGTCCGCTGTCCGTGCCTGCTGACCAAAGATCAACCTCTTCTCCAGCTGCAGGTAGTCTCGTGCCATCATCCTCGGGTCAAACCTGGTGGTCAGTTTGATGCCAAGTAAATAAGTGGAAAGTGAATCCTTTGCATTTTATAGGCTTACCAATCAATTATTTTTGCATTTATCTGTCCATAAACTGAAAAAAACATTAGGCCACACCCACTAATGAACTACTGTTTTCTGATTGGCTGATGATAGAATGGGCAGGGCTTGTGTTGCATTATCGTGCGGAGCAATGTCACTGATTCATATTGTTGTCTACAGTACTTTGTGTGTTGATTATGAAACAAACAGTCTGTGAAATCATCATTGTTAGCTCACCTATTTATAAGAATTGATTTCAATATGTTCTTCTGTTTACAGAGTATAAATGTAAACGAGGATGTACACAGGCTGCACACAGCTTGTCACTTCCATTAACACAAGAATATTTAAATCAGTTCTTAAGTGATTCAGTTTTATCACTGCATGTCTGACTGGTGTGTAAGTCTGTAGTGACCAGTCCACCTGGGGAGGAATAGCATGGCTTGTAGGAGGAATGGAGAGGAATGTAATAGCTTGTCAGAGGAACGGGGAGGAATGGCATAGCTTGTCAGAGGAATGGAGAGGAATGTCATAGCATGTCAGAGGAAGGGAGAGGAATGGCACAGCATGTCAGAGGAAGGGAGAGGAATGTCATAGCTTGTCAGAGGAATGGAGAGGAATGACACAGCATGTCAGAGGAATGGAGAGGAATGGCATATCTTGTCAGAGGAAGGGAGAGGAATGGCATATCTTGTCAGAGGAATGGAGAGGAATGGCACAGCATGTCAGAGGAATGGAGAAGAATGTCAGAGCATGTCAGAGGCATGGAGAGGAATGTCAAAGCTTGTCTGAGGAATGGAGAGGAATGGCACAGCATGTCAAAGGAAGGGAGAGGAATGTCATAGCTTGTCAGAGGAATGGAGAGGAATGTCATAGCTTGTCAGAGGAAGGGAGAGGAATGGCACAGCATGTCAGAGGAATGGAGAGGAATGGCATATCTTGTCAGAGGAAGGGAGAGGAATGTCAGAGGAATGGAGAGGAATGGCATATCTTGTCAGAGGAATGGAGAGGAATGTCGGAGGAATGGAGAGGAATGTGAGAGGAATGGAGAGGAATGTCATAGCTTGTCAGAGGAAGGGAGAGGAATGTTATAGCTTGTCAGAGGAAGGGAGAGGAATGGCACAGCATGTCAGAGGAATGGAGAGGAATGGCATATCTTGTCAGAGGAAGGGAGAGGAATGGCATACAGTAAACTATGGTTATAACGAACACGCTTATAACAAACTACCGGATATAACGAACTAACTTTTTAGTCCCGACTATATGTTGTAGTTATGCTGTATGTATGCTTATAACGAATTACGGTTATAACGAACTAAAATTAGTGGTCCCTTTGAGTTCGTTATAACCGTAGTTTACTGTATCTTGTCAGAGGAATGGAGAGGAATGGCACAGCATGTCAGAGGAATGGCACAGCATGTCATAGGAAGGGAGAGGAATGTCATAGCTTGTCAGAGGCATGGAGAGGAATGTCAAAGCTTGTCAGAGGAAGGGAGAGGAATGGCATATCTTGTAAGAGGAATGGAGAGGAATGGCACAGCATGTCAGAGGAATGGAGAGGAATGGCACAGCATGTCAGATGAATGAAGAAGAATGTCAGAGCATGTCAGAGGCATGGAGAGGAATGTCAAAGCTTGTCAGAGGAATGGAGAGGAATGGCATAGCAAGTCAGAGGAATGGAGAGGAATGGCATATCTTGTCAGAGGAATTGAGAGGAATATCATAGCATGTCAGAGGAATAGAAAGGAATGGCATAGTTTGTCAGAGGAAGGGAGAGGAATGGCATAGCTTGTAGGAGGAATGGAGAGGAATGGCATATCTTGTCAGAGGAATGGAGAGGAATGTCATAGCATGTCAGAGGAATAGAAAGGAATGGCATAGTTTGTCAGAAGAAGGGAGAGGAATGGCATAGCTTGTCAGAGGAATGGAGAGGAATGGCATAGCTTGTAGGAGGAATGGAGAGGAATGGCATAGCTTGTAGGAGGAATGGAGAGGAATGGCATAGCTTGTCAGAGGAATGGAGAGGAATGGCACAGCATGTCAGAGGAATGGAGAGGAATGGCACAGCATGTCAGAGGAAGGGAGAGGAATGTCATAGCTTGTCAGAGGCATGGAGAGGAATGTCATATCTTGTCAGAGGAAGGGAGAGGAATGGCATAGTTTGTCAGAGGAATGGAGAGGAATGGCACAGCAAGTCAGAGGAATGGGGAGGAATGGCATAGCTTTTCAGAGGAATAGAGAGGAATGGCATAGTTTGTCAGAGGAAGGGAGAGGAATGGCACAGCAAGTCAGAGGAATGGGGAGGAATGGCATAGCTTTTCAGAGGAATAGAGAGGAATGGCATAGTTTGTCAGAGGAAGGGAGAGGAATGGCATAGCTTGTAGGAGGAATGGAGAGGAATGGCATAGCTTGTCAGAGGAAGGGAGAGGAATGGCACAGCAATTCAGAGAAATGGAGAGGAATGGCATATCTTGTCAGAGGAATGGAGAGGAATGTCAGAGGAATGGGGAGGAATGGCATAGCTTGTCAGAGGAATGGAGAGGAATGTCATAGCATGTCAGAGGAATGTCGAGGAATGTCAGAGGAATGGGGAGGAATTGCATAGCTTATCAGAGGAATGGGGAGGAATGGCATATCTTGTCAGAGGGATCGAGAGGAATGGCATATTTTGTCAGAGGAATGCAGAGGAATGTCATAGCATGTCAGAGGAATGCAGAGGAATGTCATAGCTTGTCAGAGGAATGGAGAGGAATGTCATAGCATGTCAAAGGAATGGAGAGGAATGTCATAGCTTGTCAGAGGAATGGATAGGAATTATTCTCACCCATCTCTATCCCACCCACCTGAACTTCCCCACCTGGATCTCAGCCACCTGCTGAATGTTTTGAATAACTGACCACCCACCTGGCCTCCACAACAGAGAAAATGCCCTCTGAACACCAAGGCTTGTTTCCTTCACACACACAAATGAGCTACAAGTTTGCACTGTGAATGTTTGCAGCAAGTAGTTTAAACCTTGACTAAATCATAAACAGTACAGTTCAGGTCTTATCGGGAGACATAAATAAAACTCAACAAATAACCCAATGTGTGGCATGAGCCTCAGGGGCTTACTGGGCTCCAGTCACAACAAACACTGGAAACAGCTACTGGCAAGTGTTCTAAGTCAGGGGGAAATAAATCCAGTTGGAGAGCAAGTGGTTTCTTCTTTCTAGTCATATCTCATCCTGACAGACAGGAAAACTCCATGATTCTAATCATAAAAACATTCACTTAAAAACTGGAGGTGTGATCACTTGTAGCCTCTTAAGGCTGTCTCCGACACATTATGTCATAACTCAAGACAGAGTGCAACTCCTTGAAGACATCTAATGACCTACACAAGGATTGGGTCGTGTCACAGTGTCATGGTGTATGTACTTCTAATATGTCGGGGGCATGGGGGCTCAGCTGAAAAAAACTGAGCAGAGTTGTGTCCCCTTGGTTCGCCAGGAACCTATGATCATGGCTTCATATCCCAGATTCACCCTAACATGTTTCCGATATGTCAGCACTATACCCGTTCTTGTGACCTGCATAACATGGCATTATTCCCCCAACATCCAGCAATTATACTGGGTGAAATACTGTACAAAGTGTTAAACTCAACTCACTCACTCACTCACTCACTCACTCACTCACTCACTCACGACTATAATAATGTGGGAGCTGGAGCTTAATATCTGATGAGTGAGTGAGTGAGTATGTTTTACGCCGCTTTTAGCAATATTCCAGCAAAATCACGGTGGGGGACACCAGAAATGGGCTTCACACATTGTACCAATGTCGGGAATCAAACCCGGGTCTTCGGCGTGACGAGCGAACGCTTTAACCACTAGGCTACCCGACCGCCCCGATATCTGATGAAATTATAGAAGATGTGATACATATATCAGTACGATACTGATCTAGCAAGGCCAGCCTTCTTGGGAGGTTTAGCATTCATGGCAAATAATTCAGGCCGATAGGTCGAAAAAATAATAAAGTTAGATAGGTACCAAAAATAAAAATAAATAAAGTAGGGTTAGAGTTTTTAAGAAAGTATTCAACAGGTTTTGATTATAATATTTTTTTTCAATTATTTATATTGACAGCGACAGTAAAAGAGTTTTTTTAACATGTTACTTATTTATGGTTGGTGAAGTAAATCCCACTGCTTTTCATTTAAAAAAAATAAATCACATTATATTTTTTTGGAGTGGGCAAGTTTACGAAGTTTAAAAAAGGTTTGGCCTAAGTATCCATCTCTTTGGGTTCCAGAGTAAGATCTGCACCAATAACTAAAGTCCTGCAAAAATACTTACCTGCAAAGTAACATATTTCATTAACAGCTCATGTTTTTGAAGGAAGGACTTGTTAAATATGTTATTACATATTATTAGAATCTATGATGACCCTTCCCTAAATGTGTTTAACAATCAGCCTGACTTCCTCACCAGGGTTGGGCCAGATGGTTGTAGGTCAGGGGAGATTCCCTCTTGTCATCCTGGAACACCAACAGAGACAAATTAGATACAATTACATATTCAAATCACTCAGTCAGCTGGCGTCGACACATTCATAGTCTATTTCACCTACCAGTAAATAATATAGGAGTGAGTAAGTGAGTATGGTTTTACGCCGCTTATAGCAATATTCCAGCAATATCACGGCGGGGGACACCAGAAATGGGCTTCAAACATTGTACCCATGTCGGGAATCGAACCCGGGTCTTCGGCGTGACGAGCGAACGCTTCAACCACTAGGCTACCCGACCGCCCCAAATAATATAGGAAGCTTCATGACAAGATCTGCTCTATGAAATAAATGTTGAAGTAAGGATAAGATGTATGGTTAAACAACTACTTTACTATTTTAAAAATAAATGTTTGTTGCAGTTATATGAATTTGAAAAATTAAAAGGAATTTTGAATAAAATTAATGAAATAAGTTACAAACATAAGTCCAGATATACAAAGAACACTTTTTATAGCCAGACAGTGTAATTACATGAATAATTTGCGAACTTCAGTATGGATTTGTTGACATGGTATTTCTGGTGTTACGTGCTCACGGTAATGTCCTTCCATGGGGGGAAAAAACATCAAAACTCATTAATTTGTGTATAATGCGCACCCCCTTCTACACAGCTGTGTTTTTTTTTTAAAAAGTGCGCACTATTCTCAAGAAAATACGGTAACAGATATATATAAATGCCTGGGACCTAAAATAGGGTTGGTATGGTAACCAAAACATGTCTACTACAGCGATAGCATCATGGCAGTGTGGCTCTCACTTAGATACAAGAATGTAGATATTCAATGGGCAAAGCAATAGTCACATTGGAACTTTCACAATATAGCAGTAAAATTATGTTTTTATTTGGAAACATTAGAAATGCATTTAGAATTTGTTTGACCTTCAAGCAGTTGGGGAAAAAAACAAATAATGTCTTGACTGTTTGGTGACCAGCAAATAAGTTTCCTGTGGATCTGAGATTGTATTGACTCTGTCACTGCAGGGTATAGTAAATGTTTCTTAACCTGTTGATATCAATGTCACAGTTTGGAAACTGTTACGCCTGTTTCGTTATGTGTTTTGTTGTATTTGAGATGATTCATAACCTAAAGATCACAGGAGGCGTCTGTTTGAAGTTGGTTTACTCCGGAAGTCCGTACATGAAGTGACGTGATGTCCCATTGACATATTTGGGGACGTGATGCACAAGATGAATATTACATATCGTAACAAAGCCCACACTGAAGTCAGTTGATGTGCTACTCCAAAGAAGTCACAGAACACATGATTGCTTCAAACCACTACAGTTAATGTGTCATGGCATGATAGTATTATGAAAGAATCAGGTGTTCTTTAAGTTCTTTGGGATATAGTATTTAGTCTGGCCCACCTTAAACATTAGCCCAGCCACAAGCTCCAGTTTGTCCAAGGGGAGATAATTCAATATGGGCACTGATCTGTAAAACAAGATACAATAACCACAATGCTGGACAAATATATATTCCCAAACTAACTTCAGTAAACAGCCGTAATGTAAAACAGTGAACTTTTTTGTCTTCTAAGCCTTAAAAAAATAAAAGAATTGGTTTTCAGGCAATGGTTTTTGAAATTATAGTACAGGCGGGCTGTGTCCTTCTTTTTTTGGGTGTTGGGGTGGCTGGTTGATCAATCTAGTTACAACCAAATAAACACTCGTGTAACCAAATAAACACTCGTGTAACCAAATAAACACTTGTGTAACCAAATAAACACTCGTGTAACCAAATAAACACTCGTGTAACCAAATAAACACTCGTGTAACCAAATAAACACTCGTGTAACCAAATAAACACTCGTGTAACCAAATAAACATTTGTGTAACCAAATAAACACTTGTGTACAATCAGCTTGGGAAAGGGCCTTCCTACATAAATGTATTCCCTGTTGAGTATCGAAATCAAAATGAAATGTGTGACGATCTGGATGTGGACGGTGCCTGAGAACCAAGACTATTACTTTTTTAGTCCTTATATTGAACTATGACCTTTAAGGTATACATGAACAATAGAAAGATGTTAGACATGTATGATACATACACCACATGGTTCTCGAAACCAATGAGGATGTCTCCTCTGCAGTTGGCGAAACAGACCCCGTTCAGTGGCTTCCCAAAGCCAAGTTCCCGGATCAGGGTGTTTTCAAAGTCCCAAATCTGAAGACAGCACATAGGTTACAAAAAAATGGCCAGATGAAATAAACCTTTCTTCCAATTGCATGGATTTGAAAATTAGCAGATAAGAATTTCATTAAAATAAATAGTGAAGTAACTAAAACATCACTGCTACAGCTGTTGCACCTAGGCACTGTAGCTCACCTGGTCCCATATACCAGCTTAAAATGTCAGAAGCAACAGTCACTCAAACTAACTGTTCCAGTGTAACAAGTTGTGTTTGTTTATGCCACGTTTCTGCTTCAATGGTCAAGTGCTGTCAACAAATGTCAATAACATAAGCTGGAGGCAGAAACTTGTTCCTAAGGGCTACGTTGATGTGATGTGGCAATGGGGTGCAACTTTTGACAGTCATGGCAGTAACATTGCTTTGGGAAACTAGGATCAGGTGAGCTAAAAAACAGAATAATAACCAGTCTTATCAAAATCTTTTGATCTGATTCGATACCTCTCTGTGACAAACCCCTCCAGAACATGTCCAACGAACCCGTGTGAACTTCGACAGCCTGATGAACGATGTGTACGTTTGTGAACCAGATGTCAGCTTTCTAACACTTTTTTGTTTGACATCACTCTACCACCTTTGGCCCAAATTTTGCAACGTCTGAATGATGAACGCCCACACAAAACAAATGTTCTATCGATAGTATGCCCGGAAAAAAAATGTGTGAAACATCCCTTAACATTTTCCACTCACAACTGCACATTTACATTTGTGTTCTAAAGACAGAAATAAAATATGCCGCTCCGAATGTCTTGAATGCTCATATTGGAATGGTCAAGCTTCCACGCAGACTGGCTGATAACACATACCGTATTCGACGTAATAAGCGCCCTGCTCTAATAAGCGCCCACGGCGATATTTGCCAATATATTGGCTAGTGAACAATCTCAATTAGCACCCCTTCGAAGTGGTTTATGTACACAAGACTTATTTATTTGTGTATAATACATACTCGTATGTTATATGCACCCTTAATTATGGGCAATTAAATCCTGGAAAAATATTTCTGTCATATATAAACATTTCAGGCTGTCAGCATAAACAACGAAATTTACGATTTTTCAACTCAAAATAATATTCTAATAAGAGCCCCCTATTTCTAATTTTGAGAGCGCCCTGGGCGCTTATTACGTCGAATACGGTAGTTCCTGTGACTTGACCTCCAACGTGGATTGGGAAGATTTTGACAGAGAGATGTATTATATCAGAGTCAAAAGTGTGATTTTAAAGAGAGTTGATAACCAAGGTAAAAGTCTGACCTTGACTGAGCCATCCGAGCTGGCAGTGACAAATATCTGCAGAGCTGGACACTGGTCAATGGCGGAGATCTCTCCCGTGTGGTCATAGTCCGGTGAATGGTACTTTGGCACCAACTGAAGCGTTGTTTCCATGTGTTGCCGATTGACGCACTTGTTGATCTGGTACATCTGCAGTATACTGCAACAGGAACCACACTTCATTCAACAAGGACATTGAAGAATGCTTGATTCTGATTGGTCAAAAGGGGATTAAAATCAGGTGTCAAATTCCATTAACAAGTCTTTACAAACAATAAACGTGCATATAAATACATGGATCTATTGATGGACTACATGTAACAATGGCTGCTGATAACCAATCAGAACTGTATCAATTCGACATCGTAACGATATCATCTGTGTTGGGCAACAATTTTGACGTCCTTGACCTTGACACTGACAAGTCTGATGATGATGAGATGACCACACAATCAAAACACAGTGGGTTTATCTCCTGATTGTGTACGCCTAACTCTGGTCCATTGTGCGAAGTCTGGTCGGGATTCCCCATGAAGATATAACTGGAATATTGCCAGAAACAGATTAAAAAAACCTACTCACTCACTCAACCAATGTCAGTGAGTGAGTGAGTGAGTGAGTTCGGTTTAACGCCGCTTTTAACAGTATTCCAGTTATATCGCAACGTGTCAGCTTAATGTGGGAGGAAAGCCCCAAGTGATGCAGGTCTTAGACATTTACCACTTCAGTGAAACCCACGAGCACGGGTATGGTGCTGACAAACCTAGAAACATAATCGAGGCGAATCGGGATTCGAACCCACAATCATAGGTTTCTGGCGTGTCCAAGGGACGCAACTCTGCGGCGCCTTAGACGACTGGGCCACCCGTGCCCCCTTCAACCAATGTCAAACAGAATGCAGTACAGTGTTTTTTCACGTAAGAAATAATCACTGCACATTCAGACTTCTGTTGGTCTTCCACAATAATGAAAATATTCCACAACGATATCTTGGCTGGAAATAATGCATGTAACCAATGGCTTGATGTTGTCATTAAATATAAGATAATATTATTTTTATTATTTTTATATTTTAAGCATGAAAAGGATGAGACTGTATAAAACACTTAGAAAGAGGAGTTGGGTAGCTAAGTAGTTTACTCATTTAAACAAAGTCCCAGGTTCGTTTCCCCACATGGGCACGATGTGTGAAGCCTATTTCTGGTGACACTGATGTAATATTGCTCGAACAGTACTAAAGCTGCATTAAACCCACTTCACTCACTCACTCTCAAGCTGAGTTTTCATTTTCAAGGGACACAACGGAAGTGGGTGAATGTTGTTTTCTGCCGCAGTGGTCTTTATTCCTCTGAATGATTCCTGTCAGTAATTGGTGGAATCTCCTAGGAAGGGATGAGCCACTTGGGTACTCGGGTCAGGGTGGTACTGAGTAGCACCCAGGTACCCATAGGACTACCCGAACCTGTGGTTAGTCACGTGATATACTGTTTTAATGACCACAACAATAAAACTCCATGGCTACACTCCAAGTCGCTAATGTTCACATTTCTTTCTGATGTATTGCTTCTCATTTTATAAAGATAAAGCTTCAGTCAACTTCAGGGGATGCATGATGAGATTGTTTTTTACGTGTCTCTAAATAGTTTTTGCAGAGCTCTGGTAAAACAACTCACAAATAGACATTTTGCACCCAACTCAACTACAGTGAGTACCCAATTAGGGTTGGGTAATCGGGGTGAGGTACTTGGGTAGGGTGTGATAACAGGGGGTGAGGTACCCAGGTAGGGTTGGGTAACAGGGGGTGAGGTACCCAGGTAGGGTTGGGTAACAGGGGGTCAGGTACCCAGGTAGGGTGGGGTAACAGGGGGTCAGGCACCCGGGTAGGGTGGGGTAATAGGGGGTCAGGTACCTGGTTAGGGTGGGGTAAGAGGGGGTCAGGTACCCGGGGAGGGTTGGGTAACAGGGGGTCAGCTACCTGGTTGGCGTTGGGTAACAGGGGGTCAGGTACCTGGTTAGGGTGGGATGACAGGGGGTCAGGTACCCGGGTAGGGTTGGGTAACAGGGGGTCAGGTACCTGGGTAGGGTTGGGTAACAGGGGGTCAGCTACCTGGTTAGCGTTGGGTAACAGGGGGTCAGGTACCTGGTTAGGGTGGGATGACAGGGGGTCAGGTACCCGGGTAGGGTTGGGTAACAGGGGGTCAGGTACCTGGGTAGGGTTGGGTAACAGGGGGTCAGCTACCTGGTTAGCGTTGGGTAACAGGGGGTCAGGTACCTGGTTAGGGTGGGATGACAGGGGGTCAGGTAAGGTGGGGTAACAGGGGGTCAGGTACCTGGTTAGGGTGGGATGACAGGGGGTCAGGTAGGGTGGGGTAAAAGAGGTAGGTACCCGGGAAGGGTTGGGTAACAGGGGGTCAGGTACCTGGTTAGGGTGGGGTAATAGGGGGTCAGGTACCGGGGTAGGCTGGGGTAATAGGGGGTCAGGTACCTGGTTAGGGTGGGGTAATAGGGGGTCAGGAACCTGTTAGGGTGGGGTAATAGGGGGTCAGGTACCCGGGTAGGCCGGGGTAATAGGGGGTCAGGTACCTGGTTAGGGTGGGGTAATAGGGGGTCAGGTACCCGGGTAGGCCGGGGTAATAGGGGGTCAGGTACCTGGTTAGGGTGGGGTAAGAGGGGGTCAGGTACCTGGTTAGGGTGGGGTAACAGGGGGTCAGGCACCCGGGTAGGGTGGGGTAACAGGGGGTCACTTACCTGGTTAGGGTGGGGTAAAAGGGGGTCAGGTAACCAGGTAGGGTGGGGTAACAGGGGGTCAGGCACCCGGGTAGGGTGGGGTAACAGGGGGTCACTTACCTGGTTAGGGTGGGGTAAAAGGGGGTCAGGTAACCAGGTAGGGTGGGGTAACAGGGGGTCAGGTAACCAGGTAGGGTGGGGTAACAGGGGGTCAGGTAACCAGGTAGGGTGGGGTAACAGGGGGTCAGGTAACCAGGTAGGGTGGGGTAACAGGGGGTCAGGTACCCGGGTAGGGTGGGGTAACAGGGGGTCAGCTACCTGGGTAGGGTCGGGTAACAGGGGGTCAGGTACCCTGGTAGGGTGGGGTAATATTGGGGTCAGGAACCTGGGTAAGGTTGGGTAACAGGGGGTCAGGAACCTGGGTAAGGTGGGGTAATAGGGGGTCAGGAACCTGGGTAAGGTGGGATAATAGGGGGTGTGGTACCCGGGTAGGGTGGGGTAATAGGTTCAAGTACCCAGGTAGGGTGGGGTAACAGGGTCAAGTACCCAGGTAGGGTGGGGTAATAGGGGGTCAAGTACCCAGGTAGGGTGGGGTAACAGGGTCAAGTACCCAGGTAGGGTGGGGTAACAGGGTCAAGTACCCAGGTAGGGTGGGGGATAGGGTCAAGTACCCAGGTAGGGTGGGGTAACAGGGTCAGGTACCCAGGTAGGGTGGGGTAACAGGGTCAAGTACCCAGGTAGGGTGGGGTAATAGGGGGTCAAGTACCCAGGTAGGGTGGGGTAACAGGGTCAAGTACCCGGGTAGGGTGGGGTAATAGGGGGTCAGGAACCTGGGTAAGGTGGGGTAATAGGGGGTAAGTGTTGACTTGTCCCAGCCCTAGTATCTCCAGCCACAGGGAACACAACGCACATGGATATAGCACTGTTATCTTAAGGACATTTAACATTCAAGTATTCCACTTTCATGTTTCTGTCTGATATTGGAGTACCTGGGATTGGCTTTGAAGGTGGCACACATTACATCCAGTGACAGGACCAGCTTGGTGAGGGCGCTGCTGAACTCAAACTGCAACAAACAGCGCGTTTACATGATTAGCTGTGTTCTGGAGCGTCCGGGAACAAGTGTCAGGTTCCTGGACACAGTGGTTGATTCATGGGTACACAACAGCACGTTTACATGATTAGCTGTGTTCTGGAGCGTCCGGGAACAAGTGTCAGGTTCCTGGACACGGTGGTTGTTTCATGGGTACACAACAGCACGTTTACATGATTAGCTGTGTTCTGGAGCGTCCGGGAACAAGTGTCAGGTTCCTGGACACGGTGGTTGATTCATGGGTACACAACAGCATCGCAGATAGCGTTAAAGTTGGCATGCAGCACATGCTTCTTGCTGGGTGAGCGTAAACTGCGCACGCTCTGGACACAGTGAGTTTCAGCTGGCTTCTGGCGTTCATATGGGCAAGTAGTAAATGAATATCTCTCTCTAAGTTACAAAATAACACTAGAATAGTACAGAAAAGAATAGAATAGCAATAGTTGAGAGAGTTACCCATTTACATTGTTATATTACCCTAATCAAACAGCAACTTCACTTTAAGTTTAAAATCGATTTCATTTTATCTTATTACATTTTCATTGTTCATTACATTACAAGGGGATTTCATTTTTAGTTGATTACAAGGGGATTTCATGTTTAGTTGATTATAAGGGGATTTCACATTTAGTTGATTACAAGGGGATTTCACGTTTAGTTGAATACAAGGGGATTTCACCTTTAGTTGATTACAAGGGGATTTCATGTTTAGTTGATTATAAGGAGATTTCACATTTAGTTGATTACAAGGGGATTTCACATTTAGTTGATTACAGGGGGATTTCACGTTAAGTTGATTACAAGGGGATTTCACGTTTAGATGATTACAAGGGGATTTCACGTTAAGTTGATTACAAGGGGAATCCACATTTAGTTCATTACAAGGGGATTTCACGTTAAGTTGATTACAAGGGGATTCCACATTTAGTTGATTACAAGGGGATTTCACATTTAGTTGATTACAGGGGGATTTCACGTTAAGTTGATTACAAGGGGATTTCACGTTTAGTTGATTACAAGGGGATTTCACGTTAAGTTGATTACAAGGGGATTCCACATTTAGGTGATTACAAGGGGATTTCACGTTTGGTTGATTACGAGGGTATTTCACGTTTAGTTGATTACAAGGGGATTCCACGTTTTGTTGATTACAGGGGGATTTCATGTTTAGTTGATTACAATGTAAGTTAATGTTTAGTTCATTGAGTTTAGTTTCCACTGCAAACCAATGCCCGACTTCCTGGATCTTTTAATATAAAATACAAGCCTCACTTTATGTGTGAAGAAGGCTTAGTGACACTGTTATGGGTCTTCAAGAAAGGTATATATTCTTAATGTCTGCAATGTGACATGACTGACTTACTTCCAGGAACATGTCTCAGTGAGATTCAGCTACACTCACCTGTTGTACAAGGCTGAGGCGGATGATGTCAGCCTGATCGTCAACCCTCCACAGACGGACAAGGTAGTCTGTGCCCCCGGACAGGATATATGCATGGTCCCTAGCCAGCCCCAGAGCATTGTGGGCTATGTTTGGACACGCCTCCAGACATGTGACACGGCCGTGGTGAGCCTGAGTGGATGCCGGCATGTGATAGTGTCTGGCATCAAGCAGACAGATCTGGTGGCACGACATGATGATGTCATTAGTCTGTACATGCATGAGAAACAAGGACTCACGGTGAGTAAGCTGGTTTAACACAACTCAAACCCTAAGTCACAGGATCCTGGCAATTCCTAAGGGATGCAACTCTGTATAGCAATGCCTTATATGACTGTATCATATCTCTTGGCAGCGACCATACTACTGACTTGTACAATTAGCTCCCAAAACTTGTTAGGTTTATTTGTTTGTTTGTTGTTTAACAGCACACTCTGGCAAATAGTCTGCAAATATTGAAGTCTGGAACAGACAATCAAGTGATTGACATCAAGAGCATCTTCCACACAACTGATTTACAAGGACATGCAATAAGTCACAGAGTCTGACTGTCGCAAACCATTTAGTCGCCTCTTAAGACAAGTATGTGTTGGTGGCATTTGGACCTATATTCTTACCCGTAATCCCAACAGGGAGACAAACATGTGTTGCTGGAGACCTATATTCTTACCCGGAATCCCCACAGGGAGACAAACATGTGTTGCTGGAGACCTATATTCTTACCCGGAATCCCCACAGGGAGACAAACATGTGTTGCTGGAGACCTATATTCTTACCCGGAATCCCCAAAGGGAGACAAGTATGTTTTGGTGGAATTTGGATCTATATTCTTACCCATAATCCCCACAGGGAGACAAACATATGTTGTTGGGGACCTATATTCTTACCCGGAATCCCCAAAGGGAGACAAGTATGTTTTGGTGGCATTTGGATCTATATTCTTACCCGGAATCCCCACAGGGAGACAAACATATGTTGCTGGGGACCTATATTCTTACCCATAATCCCCATAGGGAGACAAACATATGTTGCTGGGGACCTATATTCTTACCCGGAATCCCCACAGGGAGACAAACATATGTTGCTGGGGACCTATATTCTTACCCATAATCCCAACAGGGAGACAAACATGTGTTGCTGGAGACCTATATTCTTACCCATAATCCCAACAGGGAGACAAACATGTGTTGCTGGAGACCTATATTCTTACCCGGAATCCCAACAGGGAGACAAACATGTGTTGCTGGAGACCTATATTCTTACCCAGAATCCCCACAGGGAGACAAACATGTGTTGCTGGCGACCTATATTCTTACCCGGAATCCCCACAGGGAGACAAGTATGTTTTGGTGGCATTTGGACATGTATTCTTACTTGGAATCCCCACAGGGAGACAAGTATGTTTTGGTGGCATTTGGACATGTATTCTTACTTGGAATCCCCACAGGGAGACAAGTATGTTTTGGTGGCATTTGGACATGTATTCTTACTTGGAATCCCCACAGGGAGACAAGTATGTTTTGGTGGCATTTGGACATGTATTCTTACTTGGAATCCCCACAGGGAGACAAGTATGTTTTGGTGGCATTTGGACATGTATTCTTACTTGGAATCCCCACAGGGAGACAAGTATGTTTTGGTGGCATTTGGACATGTATTCTTACTTGGAATCCCCACAGGGAGACAAGTATGTTTTGGTGGCATTTGGACATGTATTCTTACCCGGAATCCCCACAGGGAGACAAGTATGTTTTGGTGGCATTTGGACATGTATTCTTACTTGGAATCCCCACAGGGAGACAAGTATGTGTTGGTGGCATTTGGACATGTATTCTTACTTGGAATCCCCACAGGGAGACAAGTATGTGTTGGTGGCATTTGGACATGTATTCTTACCCGGAATCCCCACAGGGAGACAAGTATGTTTTGGTGGCATTTGGACATGTATTCTTACCCGGAATCCCCACAGGGAGACAAGTATGTGTTGGTGGCATTTGGACATGTATTCTTACCCGGAATCCCCACAGGGAGACAAGTATGTTTTGGTGGCATTTGGACATGTATTCTTACTTGGAATCCCCACAGGGAGACAAGTATGTTTTGGTGGCATTTGGACATGTATTCTTACTTGGAATCCCCACAGGGAGACAAGTATGTTTTGGTGGCATTTGGACATGTATTCTTACCCGGAATCCCCACAGGGAGACAAGTATGTTTTGGTGGCATTTGGACATGTATTCTTACCCGGAATCCCCACAGGGAGACAAGTATGTTTTGGTGGCATTTGGACATGTATTCTTACCCGGAATCCCCACAGGGAGACAAGTATGTGTTGGTGGCATTTGGACATGTATTCTTACCCGGAATCCCCAAAGGGAGACAAGTATGTGTTGGTGGCATTTGGACATGTATTCTTACCCGGAATCCCCACAGGGAGACAAGTATGTTTTGGTGGCATTTGGACATGTATTCTTACCCGGAATCCCCACAGGGAGACAAGTATGTTTTGGTGGCATTTGGACATGTATTCTTACCCGGAATCCCCACAGGGAGACAAGTATGTGTTGGTGGCATTTGGACATGTATTCTTACCCGGAATCCCCACAGGGAGACAAGTATGTTTTGGTGGCATTTGGACATGTATTCTTACCCGGAATCCCCACAGGGAGACAAGTATGTTTTGGTGGCATTTGGACATGTATTCTTACCCGGAATCCCCACAGGGAGACAAGTATGTTTTGGTGGCATTTGGACATGTATTCTTACCCGGAATCCCCACAGGGAGACAAGTATGTTTTGGTGGCATTTGGACATGTATTCTTACTTGGAATCCCCACAGGGAGACAAGTATGTGTTGGTGGCATTTGGACATGTATTCTTACCCGGAATCCCCACAGGGAGACAAGTATGTTTTGGTGGCATTTGGATCTATATTCTTACCCGGAATCCCCACAGGGAGACAAGTATGTTTTGGTGGCATTTGGACATGTATTCTTACCCAGAATCCCAACAGGGAGACAAGTATGTGTTGGTGGCATTTGGACATGTATTCTTACTTGGAATCCCCACAGGGAGACAAGTATGTGTTGGTGGCATTTGGACATGTATTCTTACCCGGAATCCCCACAGGGAGACAAGTATGTTTTGGTGGCATTTGGACATGTATTCTTACTTGGAATCCCCACAGGGAGACAAGTATGTTTTGGTGGCATTTGGACATGTATTCTTACCCGGAATCCCCACAGGGAGACAAGTATGTGTTGGTGGCATTTGGACATGTATTCTTACCCGGAATCCCCAAAGGGAGACAAGTATGTGTTGGTGGCATTTGGACATGTATTCTTACCCGGAATCCCCACAGGGAGACAAGTATGTTTTGGTGGCATTTGGACATGTATTCTTACCCGGAATCCCCACAGGGAGACAAGTATGTGTTGGTGGCATTTGGACATGTATTCTTACCCGGAATCCCCACAGGGAGACAAGTATGTTTTGGTGGCATTTGGACATGTATTCTTACCCGGAATCCCCACAGGGAGACAAGTATGTGTTGGTGGCATTTGGACATGTATTCTTACCCGGAATCCCCACAGGGAGACAAGTATGTTTTGGTGGCATTTGGACATGTATTCTTACCCGGAATCCCCACAGGGAGACAAGTATGTTTTGGTGGCATTTGGACATGTATTCTTACCCGGAATCCCCACAGGGAGACAAGTATGTGTTGGTGGCATTTGGACATGTATTCTTACCCGGAATCCCCAAAGGGAGACAAGTATGTGTTGGTGGCATTTGGACATGTATTCTTACCCGGAATCCCCACAGGGAGACAAGTATGTTTTGGTGGCATTTGGACATGTATTCTTACCCGGAATCCCCACAGGGAGACAAGTATGTTTTGGTGGCATTTGGACATGTATTCTTACCCGGAATCCCCACAGGGAGACAAGTATGTTTTGGTGGCATTTGGACATGTATTCTTACCCGGAATCCCCACAGGGAGACAAGTATGTTTTGGTGGCATTTTGACATGTATTCTTACCCGGAATCCCCAAAGGGAGACAAGTATGTTTTGGTGGCATTTGGACATGTATTCTTACCCGGAATCCCCACAGGGAGACAAGTATGTTTTGGTGGCATTTGGACATGTATTCTTACCCGGAATCCCCACAGGGAGACAAGTATGTTTTGGTGGCATTTGGATCTATATTCTTACCCGGAATCCCCACAGGGAGACAAGTATGTTTTGGTGGCATTTGGACATGTATTCTTACCCGGAATCCCCACAGGGAGACAAGTATGTGTTGGTGGCATTTGGACATGTATTCTTACCCGGAATCCCCACAGGGAGACAAGTATGTTTTGGTGGCATTTGGACATGTATTCTTACCCGGAATCCCCACAGGGAGACAAGTATGTGTTGGTGGCATTTGGACATGTATTCTTACCCGGAATCCCCACAGGGAGACAAGTATGTTTTGGTGGCATTTGGACATGTATTCTTACCCGGAATCCCCACAGGGAGACAAGTATGTGTTGGTGGCATTTGGACATGTATTCTTACCCGGAATCCCTACAGGGAGACAAGTATGTGTTGGTGGCATTCGGACATGTATTCTTACCCGGAATCCCCACAGGGAGACAAGTATGTGTTGGTGGCATTCGGACATGTATTCTTACCCGGAATCCCCACAGGGAGACAAGTATGTGTTGGTGGCATTTTGACATGTATTCTTACCCGGAATCCCCACAGGGAGACAAGTATGTGTTGGTGGCATTCGGACATGTATTCTTACCCGGAATCCCCACAGGGAGACAAGTATGTTTTGGTGGCATTTGGACATGTATTCTTACTTGGAATCCCCACAGGGAGACAAACATGTGTTGCTGGGGACCTATATTCTTACCCGGAATCCCCACAGGGAGACAAGTATGTGTTGGTGGCATTTGGACATGTATTCTTACTTGGAGTGAGGTAATTCACTTATAGTAAGGGAGGGCATATTTTCCAGTGTTATGGGATCTGAGAAGGCTAGGTGAGAGAGACATGTATATATCTACTGAACAGTGTAATAATATCAAGAGCTTTTATCATACCCACACTGTTCTGTGATCAGGTCTCAGCCTACCATTATCATCATTATTTTCGTAACAATTATATATTTAACCAACCTGTCCATTTCTAAGACCTCCAAACACAAGGGCCTCCATGATACCACAGATTGTCTGAAAATGTTAAGGACATATTTCACATATGACACAGCGTTGTAAATTCCTAGTCATTAAGTCAACAGCAGCACAATACAACAGAGGATATTTGTATATGCGCTACTCAGGAAAATACCAACTTTATCAGGTCACTTGATGACATAAACATGAAATTTCCATGAGTGGTGCAGCATCACTAAGGTCTGCCGATCTCACATCACATCTTTCATGCTGCCTCAGACATCGTATCAGAGTGAAAGTTCTCATTTAAAGTGATTTTAAATTTTCGAATGAATATAATATCTAGACACAGAATAACTTTAAAAAGCTTTTTTGTTCTGTGTGATATGGGAGCGTGTACTGACCACTTGGACGAGTGCCAGGTCCAACACTTCACTGGGCTGCGCCTCCGGTCTGAGGATCCTCACGGCCCGACACGGGTTGCTGGAACACTCTAGGACCAGCACTGTGGACAAATTCAAATGTGGTTCAGCATAAAGCAGGAAATATTCAGATGGTGTCATAAACATGTTCAGCATCAGTTTGTTAAACATGACCATGACTCACCATTTCCATGTCTCCCACTCACTCACTCACTCACTCACCATATCTGTCTCTTACGCACTTACTAACTCACCATTTCTGTCTATCACTGACTCACTAACTCACCATTTCTGTCTATCACAAACTGACTAACTCACCCTTTCCATGTCTCCCACTCACTCACTAACTCACCATCTTCCTGTCTCCCACTCACTCACTAACTCACCATATCTGTCTCTCACTCACTCACCATTTCTGTCTCTCACTAACTCACCATATCTGTCTCTCACTCACTCACCATTTCTGTCTCTCACTAACTCACCATCTTCCTGTCTCTCACTCACTCACTAACTCACCATTTCTGTCTCTCACTTACTCACCATTTCTGTCTCCCACTCACTCACTAACTCACCATTTGTCTCCCACTCACTCACTAACTCTCCTTTTTTGTCTCCCACACACTCACTCACTCACTAACTCACCATTTCCCTCTCTCTTACTCACTTACTAACTCACCATTTTCACGCCTCCCACAAACTCACCATATACCTGTCTCCCACTCACTCACTAACTCACCATTTTCACGTCTCCCACTCACTCACCATTAACCTGTCTCCCACTCACTCACTAACTCATCATTTCTGTCTCCCACTCACTCACCATGTCCCTGTCTCCCACTCACTGACTCACCTTCCCCATCCAGCAGCAAGGTGTACAGGAGGTCGTCCATCACATTGTACACAAAACACCTCAACACCTGCAGAACACAAGTTTCATAACCAGAAAGGTGCAGACATCATTATACATCATAACCTTAAAGTAAAAGGATCAGGTACCAATGTTGCAGCTCCGGGCGGGTATCCAACCAGGGGAAGTAACTCATATGTTCACTTCTCTAACACTCGACGGACTTGCCTACCCACAATCCCCACAGCAATGTCCCTTTCGCGGAGCTCTCTATGTTATCGCTGCCCCAGGTCAAAGCTCCACACTGTGATAGGTGGCCACAACCATGCTTGGAGCTGAACTTGCAACAGACTGACCGTTATGTTTTCAAACAAGTGATGACTGCCCTGACGCCGAATACCCTTATTCCAGCTTTGGGTGTCAATTTGAATTTTTATTCATTTCAACTATCATGTGAGAGAGTGAGTGTTCAGCACTATTCCAGCAATATCAGGGCAGGGGACACCATGGGCTTCACACATTGTACCCACGGGAATTGAACCCCGGGCTTCAGCGTAACGAGCTAAAATTTAACCACTAGGCTACCCGACTGCGCAACTATCATGTAATTGGTATGGTAAAATATAAGAGGGAAGTTTGGTGATTTTCCGTTTGTTTACAATATCAAATCAATCTGATCAAACAACAAAAAGGTAAATTCATCTGGGAAATATGGTCAGTCATAAACCTTTTCAAAAATAATTGTGATGGATTCCGAAAGACATAAACAAAGTAGAAACATTACTACATTTAAGGTTAGAGGGCAAATTTCAAGATACTTGTAATGGCTGCTTACATAGCGATGTTACTGAGAGTGCAACAAAGGTGTCACGCACTGGGATGAGCTTGTCACCAACCCTACCAGGGGAGATAATTTCACATAAAATGCAAATTGACAAAAACATCAAAATAATTCAGCTGGGAAAAAAATATTTTGACAATCATCCTGACAGTCAGCCAGTTGCAAGTTCAACTCCAAGCATGGCTGCAGGAAACCTAGCACAGTGGGGAGCTGTGACTGGTGGCAGCAAAAGTATAGAGAGCTCTACGAATGGGGTATCACTCGATCTGTTCAAGAGCTTGTCAAGTACCCAGCCATGGGAGATAACTCACATCTTCACTTCTCAAACACATTAGAGGAACAGAAGAGGGTCTAGACATAATTTGACGATAAATAAAAAGACAAAATGTTGACTTTGGCCTATTACCACAAAATTCACATCTAGTGCCAGACACGGGTACTCAAGACCTTTATTTCTACCAATAAGAGCACTAGCACTGGTGAGTGAATATGGATTTACATTGTACCAATGTGAGAATCAAACCCATATTTTCAGCATGTCGAGTGGATGCTTTAACCACTGGGCCACCCCGCCACCCCTCTACCCCACCACCCTGCTTCCCCACCACCTGGCTACCCCGCCACCCGGCCACCCGGTTACCCTGCCATATCACCACTCGGCTACCCTGCCACCCCGCAACCGACTACCCCACCACCCCGCGGCCGGCCACCCTGCCACCCGGCTGCCCCACCACCCGGCCACCCCACCACCCGGCTGCCCCACCACCCGGCCACCCCGCCATCCGGCCACCCCGCCACCCGGCTGCCCCACCACCCGGCCACCCCGCCACCCGGCCATCCCGCCACCCGGCTGCCCCACCACCCGGCCACCCCGCCACCCGGCTGCCCCACCACCCGGCCACCCCGCCACCCGGCCACCCCGCCACCCGGCTACCCCGCCACCCCGCCACCCGGCTACCCTGCCACCCCGCCAACCCGCTACCCTGCAACCTGGCCACCCCACCACCCAGCTACCCCGCCACCCCGCCACCCGGCTACCCTGCCACCCCGCCAACCCGCTACCCTGCAACCTGGCCACCCCACCACCCAGCTACCCCGCCACCCCGCCACCCGGCTACCCCGCCACCCCGCCACCATGCCACCCCTGTACAGTATGATCTACATCCTACCTGGAAGGTGGGCATCGGGTAGACAATGGTGATAGTCAGGCCATTGACAGGGGAGAAGAACCGCACACTGCCATCCTGCAATACAACATTCAACAATGTACGAGAGTTTGTGTGGATGCCCGACCCCAGCTTATCAACAAGTATCAAGTTGACTGAATGTTCTGATTGTTGATGACCAGTGCAGAAACTCCCCTCCATGCCAAACTTGTCTGTTGGAAGTATACATGACAAAAATAGCATTACGACAATAGGCAGAATAATTGTTTAGGTTTGAAACATTTCCAGAGAAATATCTTGGACAGATCCATACAATTTGAACTGATTTCCAAGAATGATTCTGAAAAATTCTAAGAGGCATTTGCTTTCAAGTATGTCTTGAAAAGTTTGGTATTCTGCTCCAGGAAACACCATCAAACTTGGATAGGGTTAAACGGAGTTAAAGGCGTCGTCACTGCGGCCAAACAAACTTTAGAGAAATCCTGCTGTGACATATGACCCAATGGATCTCCCATCCTTGCAGTTGGAAGGGTGGCCAGTTGGTTGTGTGTTCGCTTGCTGCAACCAACTGTCCCAGGTTCCATTTGTACCTGTGATGCTATGAGTACATAGATCGATTTCTTTCCCTAATAAATGTGAACAGCTCCGGTGCACTAGTGTCAAGTTGACGTGGCGAATGAATGAATACACATAGAGGAAGAACTCCACCTCTGTCCCCCATTCATTGGAAAAGGATTCTTTCTTATCATGCAGCACCCCAACTGACCAAAAACGTGTTACAGTTGAACTCTTACTTTAGACATATCTAAGTTTCCGAAACATACCATGAACCTGGCTCTGAAGTTACACAACTGATCAAATTAATTACCAAATGATAAAATTAATAAGTTGGCCTTACCTGGCATGATGCCAAGATTCGCGAGGGTTTTCCTCGGAGCCCCGGGATGCGGTGCAGGAAGTGAACTGTGGACTCCACCGGCGCAAACAGACTGAAGAACTGGAACAAGATGGTGGTCAAGCAACGGGAACAAAACTTACGCATCATGTCACATGTGTCATTATCTGTGTCACTGACAGGTCCAGGGGCTGGTGGGCTGGTGCTGCAGGGGCACTAAAGACACTGACAGGTCCAGGGGCTGGTGGGCTGGTGCTGCAGGGGCACTAAAGACACTGACAGGTCCAGGGGCTGGAGGGCTGGTGCTGCAGGGGCACTAAAGACACTGACAGGTCCAGGGGCTGGTGGGCTGGTGCTGCAGGGGCACTAAAGACACTGACAGGTTCAGGGGCTGGTGGGCTGGTGCTGCAGGGGCACTAAAGACACTGACAGGTCCAGGGGCTGGTGGGCTGGTGCTGCAGGGGCACTAAAGACACACACTGAGGGCTTTCTAGTACAACATACATACACCTGCAGCTGAAGGGTCACCGTCAGTCATGAAACAAATGCATCATTCACATGACACACATCTCCCTTTAGCTGATGGAGGTGATGGTGTGAATTCAAAGTCTTATTGTTGCAGCAGGTTTGGTGCTCCCTTCCATCACATCAACAGATCTTGTCAGTGTCGCAGCAGAACATTAACATCCCCATCATCACCAGCCTCATTGAACAGTAAGGGTGTGCGGTATATCGATAAATTGAGGTTCATTCTTTCCACGATACCTATCACAATATCATTTTTTCATGCTTGATATATCGGGTGATTTCAAATAGCGATTTCTAGCATTAAAGGTTATATACTTGCCAAATGCCTTCGGTGCCAGGAGCACACATCCAGGGCCCCAAGATAGCTGTGTGTATATTGACTAAGAAAACATCATATTGTACCAGCATCTTGTTTTGTTCTATTTATGAACTTCAATTCATACCTTAATGTCAGATTGCTTCTGAATTCAAAATTTAGAATCATACAATATATGTATCGCAATACAGCCTTATGCATCATAAAATATTGTGACACACTTTACACCTCCAATACCCACCCTATTCAACAGAAGCAGAAGCAGAGGATTCACTCACCTGGTTCAAGTTGTACAGCTTCATTTCTTTCTGAAGCTGACAGAACAATCGCGTTTCACCCAGGAGCTCTATGGTGAAGACTGGCTCCCCCAGGTCAAGTCTCATGAACTGTAACACGACACAAGTAACAGACGAGGTCAAGTCTCATGAACTGTAACATGACACAAGTAACAGATAGAGGTCTGACTCTCCCAGGTCAAGACTCATGAACTGTAACATGACACAAGTAACAGATGGAGGACTGACTCTCCTGGGTCAAGTCTCATGAACTGTAACATGACACAAGTAACAGATAGAGGTCTGACTCCCCGAGGTCAAGTCTCATGAACTGTAACATGACACAAGTAACAGATAGAGGTCTGGCTACCCCAGGTCAAGTCTCATGAACTGTAACATGACACAAGTAACAGATAGAGATCTGACTCTCCCAGGTCAAGTCTCATGAACTGTAACATGACACAAGTAACAGATAGAGGTCTGACTCTCCCAGGTCAAGTCTCATGAACTGTAACACGACACAAGTAACAGATAGAGGTCTGACTCTCCCAGGTCAAGTCTCATGAACTGTAACACGACACAAGTAACAGACGAGGTCAAGTCTCATGAACTGTAACATGACACAAGTAACAGATAGAGGTCTGACTCTCCCAGGTCAAGACTCATGAACTGTAACACGACACAAGTAACAGATGGAGGACTGACTCTCCCAGGTCAAGACTCATGAACTGTAACATGACACAAGTAACAGATAGAGGTCTGACTCTCCCAGGTCAAGACTCATGAACTGTAACATGACACAAGTAACAGATAGAGGTCTGGCTCTCCCAGGTCAAGACTCATGAACTGTAACATGACACAAGTAACAGACGAGGTCAAGTCTCATGAACTGTAACACGACACCAGTAACAGACGAAGGTCTGGCTCTTCCAGGTCAAGTCTCATGAACTGAAACATGACACAAGTAACAGACAGACAAACCCTTGTTTCAAGAACTAATTGGCACCTCACTCCAGATGAAGAAGTGACAATTCCTGTACTCACGCCATTAGAAGGGGAGACAACTCTTGTGTTACTCTATATAAAGGGGACAAATCCAATCTCACTAAAATCAGATCATAGTTCTCGCTACCGCTAAACAAAGATCTGAGGACATCCCATTACGGGTCACGTCAGACCGACCTTGCACAAACTTTGATCGACCAATGGAATGACCAATCAGAGGGCAGCTTTCTCGTGCTTTACTGCACTAATTTCAAATTCGGCGACTAAGCTTTGAAACATATTTTGTCAAATTCTCAATTACAAATTTGAAACCTGAACAAAAAACATTCTGGAATGGCTAATAGATGGTCTAGAATGTAAGGATTCAGTCGTTAAACCCGTAACTATCGTTCGGAATACCTCATGTTAAAGTTTTCGAGATTGCATGATTAGAAATCACATTCTGACTGTCACTTTCATAATCTGGTAAGCGACGCACTGATTGGTTGGATGAAAGGTCGTTCTGACTTGACCCCAAATGGGATGTTTTCAGATCTTTGTTTAGCGGTAGCGAGAATTAAGGTCTGATTTTAATGAGATTGGGGACAAATCTCATGTATTATCTATACAAAGAGGAAGTTTTAGAGTTCCTTGCACAGATCACCTGCTCCTAGGATTGGGAGGGGTAAAAAGTAACTATTGTATGTTTATGTGTACTTTTTCTTCAAACTGCAAACTGTTCATATTCCACACTGGGTCAACATTTGCAGTTTTAATCGGAGTGATGTGCTGGCTCCAAATAGGCCTTTACTTGGCCCACTTTTGCCCTAAATCCAATTACCACTACTCATACTACTATAAAGAAGGGAAACAACTCTTTTTCTCCCTATAAAAAGGGGAGACAACTGTTGCACTCACTCCATTAAAACTGGGTAACAACAGGGGAGACAACATGTGTATCATTCTATAAGAAAAGATTAAAAATCATATTTCATGCAATAAGCAGGAAGGACAATTTTTCTACTTACCCGCTTGAAGTTGTCCATCCTCCAGATTTGAACAGAACCGTCCATAGAACTGGAGAACAAGAGTGGGTCAGTTCTGTGGGTCTGCAAGGCTGAAATGTAAATACTTTTATTTCTGAGGACTGGATTGTCAGGAAATACAACAAAGTAGACACAATTTATGGATAACAACTTCTTTAATACTGTAAAGACAACGTTTCGGTATAGATCCTTGCTTGACAACGGTATAAGGATCTATACCGAAACGTAGCCTGTACTTTGTCATCTGTCAACTAAGTAATGCCCATCAAACAGCTCAGGAATTACAACCAATATGCTTCTTATTACCAAGAACCTGAACCACACAAGAACACAGGGTGATTCACTGTTGTGTGTCCTGGTCACCTGATTATGCTGACAACTCAACTGACGAAATAGAGGTCGATCCAGGTGACTAGGATCCACCTGGGTTAAGCTAGGATTAATTGAGACACATATTGTTTAGAAATGACGGTCAGGTGTTTATCAGGAGATGCTGATCCCGACAGTCTGGAACTCTGATTCGCATTCACAGGACAGATTCTGTCATAATGATGAGTGTGAATAATTTCATACATTGAAGTTTACACCGTTTCTTTCATGCTGATTGGCTGAAAGGGTAGTCACATGATCTGATATTTGGAGTTCACACACCTGTGTACGGACAAAAAAAAGTTCACATGATGTGAACATTTTTTTGGTGAAATTGATAGTCTGAACTTTTGCTGGAACTACTTTCCGGGGTTTCCCCGAATTCTCAATCAGTGTTTACAATTAACTCGTTTTTCTATTTTCTTTTTAATACCTGCATTTATCAGCAATATAATTAATTAAGTATTTTTGCCTGGTCTTGTAACTTTTCATTTGACTTATAAATAAATAAAATTCTGGTGATTGATGTCATCCAGCTGCTAGATGAAACAAAATGGATTGTCCTTGCGGTGATTTGGATATGGAATGGCTATCTATCAATACTAATAACGTAAGCGAAAAAAATGAATTCTGTAAAATTACTGAGGTGAACGAAATCGATTTATTGAGCGATATTGACTTTGATGCCTTGTTTTCAGAAATGACAGGAATCGAGCACAAAAACAATATGCAAATGAAAACAATGTTGTACCTTAATTGTAAAATGTGGCCGCCAACACAACCCAGTTCACTCTTGTGACTCACCTGTGATGGCCCCATGGTGGCCGGAGAACGTGTGCACCTGTGTGAACACCACAGCATTCCACACCTGGAACATACAGATATTATCAAATATACACTCAAAACATCCAAGTAGTCCAAGCGAATGATACACAGGAATAACGTCCACTGCACATGTCCTCCAGAGTAAAGTAACAGAGAAACACTCTAGTGTTGTGTGTCCTGTTTTGACTAACCTTGATGCTGCCATCTTGACTCCCCGTTATCAGATACTCCCCGTGGTTGTAGACACAACAGCTGCAGGTGGACCCAGGTGTATTAGTAAAAACACAGATACAGGTGTATTGTTAAATAAATACCTGCAGGTAGATTCAGGTTAAATAAATACAACTTCAGGTAGATACAGGTGTATTTTTAAATAAATACTTGCAGGGAGATTCAGGTTAAATAAATACAACTTCAGGTAGATACAGGTGTATTGTTAAATAAATACCTGCAGGTAGATTCAGGTTAAATAAATACAACTTCAGGTAGATACAGGTGTATTGTTAAATAAATACTTGCAGGTAGATTCAGGTTAAATAAATACAACTTCAGGTAGATACAGGTGTATTGTTAAATAAATACCTGCAGGTAGATTCAGGTTAAATAAATACAACTTCAGGTAGATACAGGTGTATCGTTAAATAAATACCTGCAGGTAGATTCAGGTTAAATAAATACAACTTCAGGTAGATACAGGTGTATTGTTAAATAAATACTTGCAGGTAGATTCACGTAGATACAGGTTAAATAAATAAAACTACACGTAGATACAGGTGTATTGTTAAATAAATACCTGCAGGTAGATACAGGTTAAATAAATAAAACTACAGGTAGATACAGGTGTGTTGTTAAATAAATACCTGCAGGTAGATACAGATAGATTCAGGTAGATACAGGTTAAATAAATAAAACTTCAGGTAGATACAGGTGTATTGTTAAATAAATACCTGCAGGTAGATACAGGTAGATTCAGGTAGATACAGGTTAAATAAATAAAACTACAGGTAGATACAGGTGTGTTGTTAAATAAATACCTGCAGGTAGATACAGGTAGATACAGGTTAAATAAATAAAACTTTAGGTAGATACAGGTGTATTGTTAAATAAATACCTGCAGGTAGATACAGGTGTATTGTAAAATAAATAGCTCAGGTAGATATAAATTATGACAATGGGCAAATAAAAAATCATTGGTAATTGTATACGACTTGCTGAACTTGTCCTACACAGGCTTACCATTTCATGGATCCAGTGTGTTTGTTGGACATGTAGTGAGTCTGTTGATTTCTCTAAAAATAGATTTAGAAATTATTGACACATCAATTATGCAGACATTCTACCTTTGATATTAAAAGCTGACCAAGAACTCCAAGGTAATAGAGTCATATAATCATACAACACACTATTTCACCAGCTTACACTTCATTGTCATTATTGAGCAGGGAGACACTTATTCCATCTAACTTGAAACAAGTATTCTTTTATATATTTCTCCAGGGAAATTAAATAATATTATGTTTTTCTAAACTTGGATTCATGGTGTAATGCTGGTATTTTATGAGTGCTTCTCTCACCACATAGTTGAGCACCCTGAGGGCCGTCTTGCACACCACCAGTAGCTGTTTGTTTCTTGTGTCCACCTGAACGTCCAGCACCCACTGTCAAACATTGACCCATATTGTATACACACAGAGTCAAACATTGACCCATATTGTATACACACAGAGTCAAACACTGACCCATGTTGTATACACAGTGTCAAACATTGACCCATATTGTATACACACAGAGTCAAACATTGACCCATATTGTATACACACAGAGTCAAACACTGACCCATGTTGTATACACAGTGTCAAACATTTACCCATATTGTATACACACAGAGTCAAACATTTACCCATATTGTATACACACCGAGTCAAACACTGACCCATGTTGTATACACAGAGTCAAACACTGACCCATGTTGTATGCACACAGTGTCAAACATTGACCCATATTGTATACACCCAGTCAAACAATGACACAGTGTTATCAGGCACAGTCAAATAGCTTCATATTATGAATAGTCACGCGCGCACGCACGCACGCACGCACGCACGCACGCACGCACGCACGCACGCACAAAAGTAAAATAATTCATATACAAATGATTCTCAAGTAGATCAGCATGTGCAGACCTTATGTGTGTTTTACCTCACTTGATGTTTATATTCCCCAGATTGTTCAACTCAAACAATCTCAAGCTCCATGCTCTGGGCACACAACATTCGGTTTTCTCTATTGTCATGTTTAAGTGGTTTTAGTGTAAATATATTTGTAGTAATCATCAGTGGCAGAAACAGACTGAAATGGAAGTTAAGAGTATTAAGTGCTGTTGTGGCGGATTATTTACAATTTCACAATTTAGTTTGATTTGTGTTAACCTCTGCGTTTCAGTTTGTAAATCCCCTCGTAACACTACATACGCCTATGTGAAGCAGGGTGTGGCATATCCCACACATGGTACTCACCTCATCCTTAGTTAGAGACAAGGCAAACCTCCTGTCCTTCGTCAGTACCACCACATGCTGAAACACAATACACTATGTAGCAGAGGACATCTTCACCGGAATTATTACGTGAAATATTTAAATTAAATAATTACGTTAAATTTAAATCAGACCAAATATGTCATTCCAATGGATGCAAATAAAGGGGGCAGGACAACATCAAAGGACATATTCAGTGTAACATTCACAATAACGCTACTAAGAACAGGGCCCCGTTCCTCAAAGCAATCTTAGTGCTACGATGATCGTAGGCCTATGTTAAAGTATGGGACTTACGATCACCTTAGCGCTAAGTTCGCTTTGGGGAACGGGGCCCAGGAACTGTAAATCCAACATTACTCAGTAGACTTGACGGGGAACTGTGGTAGCTGTGTCTGTGTCTGTCATGTCATGATAATACTTCCCCCAGGAATACAGGGGAGAATCTGAGGAAACTAACAAACATACAAGTCCTTCAGGTACATCTCTTTCCCTCAGACTGAACTCAGCCTCCGGACCCAGACAGGTGCTTGCTGGAGTTGGCTTCCTGCTTTCAGTGAACATTCATAATGCTTCCTACATTTGTCTGACCCTGACATCTTCCCACTGGGCAGGGTTTTAACATGACATGTTTCAGACAAATTAACAAATTGGACTTTATAAAAAAACATTAAAAAATTGGAAAGCCTATCTTATGGTCAAAAGTATCCCTTGAGGGTATAACTCTGGGCGGCTAGGGTAATAATTTAATAATACCCCGGTATGTAATATACTTTCCCATATCAAATAGAAGCAAATTAGAACAATACGATAGTCGTAGATAAGAACTGACACAAGGGGCATAGTAGACCCCTCGTCCTTGTCTAAAGATCTTATTAGTATTATTTATGCATAACCACACCCCAACTGACCTCTGACTCCTTGATTGCCCATGCTTCCACTGCCCCGATACAGCCTGTGATGACTTCATTCGTGTCACAATTGAATGCCAGACTGAAACAGCAACAATTGATATCGTATTTCAGTCATAACTGAACATACACAGTGATCACCCTAGGTGCATAGGCAGGATTGTGCTCTACGCTGTTTTGGGATATAATTTGAAAATAATTATTTCGTCTATTCACTAAAATATATTCGGATTGTTTATGATTTTATGTTTGATACAGAATCTAACACACCTGCCACAATTCACCTATAGAGACAGATTTTTAGTGATTTATTCTGATGCACTCTGATCTACTTTAACATGCAATCAGTTACCATGGTAACCATGTTGTTTACAACCTCATATTTTGGAATATATTTGCCCTTACCAAATGAAAATCAGAGGCAATTTTTTGTATCAAGACCATTGCAAGAAAATTTAGAAAGAAAAAATACTTAATATGCTCTGCCCTGACATTAATCATTTTGTGAGTTGGAGGCTTTCATCAATTTTTGCTTTTGCAAAACACAAAGTTTGCATCTGGACAATTCCAAAGTTCCCCCTCAGCAACACAACACATCTATCATATCACAGGCACTATATAAAGTACCTGTCCATTGTGTAGCATTGGCAATACTGGTTGGCTAACCTGTTGGCAATACTGGTTGGCTGACCTGTTGGCAATACTGGTTTGCTAACCTGATGGCAATACTGGTTGGCTAACCTGTTGGCAATACTGGTTGGCTAACCTGTTGGCAATACTGGTTGGCTAACCTGTTGGCAATACTGGTTGGCTCACCTGTTGGCAATACTATTTGGCTAACCTGCTGGCAATACTGGTTGGCTAACCTGATGGCAATACTGGTTGGGCTTAACGTCAACTATCTGCAGCCTACTGCCACAATTCTTCATGCAAACCTTCCAGATATGTACCCCTTCTTTTCAGCTCTTAATTTGTAAAATTATAAGATATTATCTAAAGACATTTTTCATTTATCATATTTGATTTTGTTGATGCTACACAACCAAGATGTCAACCAAAGTGGTGTAACTGCCTACCAGAGAACGGTGGCGACGCTGGTGGGGTACGACACTTCCTGGCAGCTGGCCTTGGCCTCGGTGAACACGTGCAGGGTCATGTCGGGGCTGAACCCTACAAACACGCAGTACTTCGGGACGAACATCAGACGGGACATTGTGTAACTCACCTGGAACCTGGGAACATAGATAGGTCTAGAGACACACGCCTTGAACCTGGAGGCAAAGATGTGTATACAGAAATACACCTCAAACCTTGGGGCAACGAAATGTGTACTGACACACCCTCAATCCTTGGGGAATGAAAGTTACTGATTCCAAGAACTTTGCTTATAATTGTGGAGAGCCCAGTGCTTATGGTTGTCTGGGGAACACTGGCTTGAGTTATACTTGATGATCATTGATCAGGTTCTGTCCTTGATTGGTTTCAGTTTCCATTCAATTAAGTCAGGAATTTGTACTTGATATATTTCCCCTTTATATGTAAAGTTAATGTTAACAAGGAGAGTATCTCAACAGACAGGGGTCAAGGCACATCTGTTGATGTTAACAAGTTGATGGGGACAGTATCTCAACAGTCAGGGTTCATGGCTCATCTGTTGATGTTGACAAGTTGATGGGGACAGTATCTCAACAGTCAGGGTTCAAGGCTCATCTGTTGATGTTAACAAGTTGATGGGGACAGTATCTCAACAGTCAGGGTTCAAGGCTCATCTGTTGATGTCAACAAGTTAATGGGGACAGTATCTCAACAGTCAGGATTCAAGGCTTATCTGTTGATGTTAACAAGTTGATGGGGACAGTATCTCAACAGACAGGGTTCAAGGCACATCTGTTGATGTTATTAAGGTAATGGGGACAGTATCTCAACAGTCAGGGTTCAAGGCACATCTGTTGATGTTAAGAAGTTGATGGGTACAAGGGTTCAAGGCAGATCTGTTATGTTTCAAGGTAGATGTGTTTGTGTTGAATACTAGAGTAAGTAAAGAGTTCACTATTATATTCATTCTATTCATTTACATGACAGACATATAGAACATATTCTTTGTATTATGACTTTTCTAGTCTCACTAATGATTGATCACTTTTATAAATGGGAGATCAATCCTAACAATTTGAAGCCAATCAGTAACCAGGTATAGTAAGCTTACCTCTCCTGTACACACGCATCATGACAGTCTTGGGACTTGGGCGTCCACACACACACGTAGCTCTTGGTGCCGCGTCTGTAGTGGGAAACAAACGTCTCTCCTGTCTTTGTCTTGAGATGGGTGGAGCAGCGGATGTTGCAGCAATGACGCATCGTCTGGAACAGCTGCCAGGACACCACAGTCATTAGTACCAGGCACTGTTTACAAATTTGCAGTTGACAAATTCACATTTACCCATGAAACATTCTAAGATCCTACAACGGATGGATATTTGAAGGATGGTAACAAGTTAAATAAGAAGATTAATATTTTTCCAAAAGACAATATCATACTTGGAGATTGGACAAATATCGCCTTTCTTTAAAACAACATTTTAAGAGAAAAGTCAAATGGCATTTTTTTATGTTATAAGGGCTGAAATACCTGTGTTGCTGTGATTTATATGTGGACCAATGTGTTGCTGTGACCTACCTGTGGACCAGTATGTTGCTGTGACCTACCTGTGGACCAGTGTGTTGCTGTGACCTACCTGTGGACCAATGTGTTGCTGTGACCTACCTGTGGACCAGTATGTTGCTGTGACCTACCTGTGGACCAGTGTGTTGATGTGACCTACCTGTGGACCAGTGTGTTGCTGTGACCTACCTGTGGACCAATGTGTTGCTGTGACCTACCTGTGGACCAGTGTGTTGCTGTGATTTACCTGTGGACCAGTGTGTTGCTGTGACCTACCTGTGGACCAGTGTGTTGCTGTGACCTACCTGTGGACCAGTGTGTTGCTGTGACCTACCTGTGGACCAGTGTGTTGCTGTGACCTACCTGTGGACCACATTCCAATCTGTTGCTGTGACCTACCTGTGGACCAATGTGTTGCTGTGACCTACCTGTGGACCAGTGTGTTGCTGTGTCCTACCTGTGGACCAGTGTGTTGCTGTGACCTACCTGTGGACCAATGTGTTGCTGTGACCTACCTGTGGACCAATGTGTTGCTGTGACCTACCTGTGGACCAGTGTGTTGCTGTGATTTACCTGTGGACCAATGTGTTGCTGTGACCTACCTGTGGACCAATGTGTTGCTGTGACCTACCTGTGGACCAATGTGTTGCTGTGACCTACCTGTGGACCAGTGTGTTGCTGTGATTTACCAGTGGACCAATGTGTTGCTGTGACTTACCTGTGGACCAGTGTGTTGCTGTGACCTACCTGTGGACCAGTATGTTGCTGTGACCTACCTGTGGACCAGTGTGTTGCTGTGACCTACCTGTGGACCAGTGTGTTGCTGTGACCTACCTGTGGACCAGTGTGTTGCTGTGACCTACCTGTGGACCAGTGTGTTGCTGTTACCTACCTGTTGACCAATGTGTTGCTGTGACCTACCTGTGGACCAGTGTGTTGCTGTGACCTACCTGTGGACCACATTCCAATCTGTTGCTGTGACCTACCTGTGGACCAGTATGTTGCTGTGACCTACCTGTGGACCAATGTGTTGCTGTGACCTACCTGTGGACCAGTGTGTTGCTGTGACCTACCTGTGGACCAATGTGTTGCTGTGACCTACCTGTGGACCAGTGTGTTGCTGTGACCAACCTGTGGACCAGTATGTTGCTGTGACCTACCTGTGGACCAGTATGTTGCTGTGACCTACCTGTGGACCAATGTGTTGCTGTGACCTACCTGTGGACCAGTGTGTTGCTGTGACCTACCTGTGGACCAATGTGTTGCTGTGACCTACCTGTGGACCAGTGTGTTGCTGTGTCCTACCTGTGGACCAGTATATGTTGCTGTGACCTACCTGTGGACCAATGTGTTGCTGTGACCTACCTGTGGACCAGTATGTTGCTGTGACCTACCTGTGGACCAGTATATGTTGCTGTGACCTACCTGTGGACCAATGTGTTGCTGTGTCCTACCTGTGGACCAGTATATGTTGCTGTGACCTACCTGTGGACCAGTGTGTTGCTGTGACCTACCTGTGGACCAGTATGTTGCTGTGACCTACCTGTGGACCACATTCCAATCTGTTGCTGTGACCTACCTGTGGACCAGTGTGTTGCTGTGACCTACCTGTGGACCAATGTGTTGCTGTGTCCTACCTGTGGACCAGTGTGTTGCTGTGACCTACCTGTGGACCAATGTGTTGCTGTGACCTACCTGTGGACCAGTGTGTTGCTGTGTCCTACCTGTGGACCAATGTGTTGCTGTGACCTACCTGTGGACCAGTATATGTTGCTGTGACCTACCTGTGGACCAATGTGTTGCTGTGACCTACCTGTGGACCAGTGTGTTGGTGTTACCTACCTGTGGACCAGTGTGATGCTGTGACCTACCTGTGGACCAGTGTGTTGATGTGACCTACCTGTGGACCAGTATGTTGCTGTGACCTACCTGTGGACCAATGTGTTGCTGTGACCTACCTGTGGACCAGTGTGTTGCTGTTACCTACCTGTGGACCAGTGTGATGCTGTGACCTACCTGTGGACCAGTGTGTTGCTGTGACCTACCTGTGGACCACATTCCAATCTGTTGCTGTGACCTACCTGTGGACCAATGTGTTGCTGTGACCTACCTGTGGACCAGTGTGTTGCTGTTACCTACCTGTTGACCAATGTGTTGCTGTGACCTACCTGTGGACCAGTGTGTTGCTGTGACCTACCTGTGGACCACATTCCAATCTGTTGCTGTGACCTACCTGTGGACCAGTATGTTGCTGTGACCTACCTGTGGACCAATGTGTTGCTGTGTCCTACCTGTGGACCAATGTGTTGCTGTTACCTACCTGTGGACCAGTATGTTGCTGTGACCTACCTGTGGACCAGTGTGTTGCTGTTACCTACCTGTGGACCAGTGTGATGCTGTGACCTACCTGTGGACCAGTGTGTTGCTGTGACCTACCTGTGGACCACATTCCAATCTGTTGCTGTGACCTACCTGTGGACCAGTATGTTGCTGTGACCTACCTGTGGACCAATGTGTTGCTGTGACCTACCTGTGGACCACATTCCAATCTGTTGCTGTGACCTACCTGTGGACCAGTATGTTGCTGTGATTTACCTGTGGACCAATGTGTTGCTGTGTCCTACCTGTGGACCAGTGTGATGCTGTGTCCTACCTGTGGACCAGTGTGTTGTTGTGACCTACCTGTGGACCATGTTCCAGTGTGATGCTGTGGTCGAATGTCTGAGGGTCCTGGAGAGCCACCTGCAGGTTGTCCTTGACCTCTGACCATTCTTTCAACTTGTCCCATCGCTGGTCAAGGTCGTTCACTAGTGTGCTTTCTGTGCTCTGATTAGTACTCTTTAGCTGAAGATGAGATCAGTATTTGAATCTGTACAATCACAACAATTTATTAATCAGCTTGTCGAGTGCATGCACATGTTTTCAGAAGTATTTTGCACAGATAGTTCACTGGTTGCCTATATTTTCATCTCATTTCCACCACCATAAATAAATATATATTAATGACACTTTCTTTATCGTTTATAGGTATTATTTTTTTTCTTTCAAAGAATAAAGAACTTTAGCCTGTATCCCTTCTAGTTGTAAGTCTATAATGTCTTGGGTTCATAACTGATAAATTTAACTGTAACCAGGATGCAGCATCTTCAGACAAAATAGCTTTGTTTTATTTTTATTATTCACTCCCAGGTGTATATAGTGTTTTTTTGTTGAGAAACAAGGTCTGCACTCACTTCAGACAGCTGGTCCATGGCCGGTTCTCCCCTGTAGATGCTAATGTTATGTATGTCTCTTCCTCCTTCTGGCCACTGCCTGGAGAACAAAATAACAGACTCTGGAAGATATAAAATATATAATGGACTCATCTATTTGATATTTCAACATAAGGATAATAGCTTACGGATAAAAACTTCTTTATTTGTTGTAAAGGCGACGTTTCGGTTTAATTCATCATACTGTTGTCAAGCAAGTCAATTTATTTGATATGGTTCTCTTTACCGTTTTAACAAGAAAACTGGACAGGCTTGGCTCTGGTCCGTTTTGGACTGGCACCAGTATTAATCTGTGAAGGAACTTAGTTTCCAGTCTGTTTCAACATGAAATTATGCCACCAAGTGCATGGATACAAGACTATTTGGAAACGCAACACCGCACTATAATGATATAGACATAAACTGTGGTAATCTTCTGATTACATCGCTTGGGTCCCATGTCACGATGTACTTGTACCATGATGAATGTTAATCTAGATGTATACCTCCGTAGTACGTACCATTCCAGTCCCTACATGCTCCAACATAGTCCACACGTGGTGATCAAGGCGTCCGATTGTGATGACGTCATCAGCATTGTGGCTACGTTGCTACCGCGGGATCACGTCACGGAGCCCGGATCACGCTCCAACATAGTCTGCACGTGGTGATCAAGACGTCCCGATTGTGATGACGTCATCAGCATTGTGGCTACGTTGATACCGCGGGATCACGTCACGGAGCCCGGATCAGCTGGGCGCCGTGACCCGGCTTGTCCCAGAGGCTAGGCGATATCAGGGCAATGGAAAGATTGCCGCCTTCTTCCATCAATGACCCGTCACAGAAAACAAACATGAGACACGCGATGAAGTGAAAGAGCTGCAGTTGTATCGAACAAAGCCGATGGCGTTTATTGTTAATATCAGAATATAGTTACTACTACATTGCAATGTAAACAGTAAACATAAAGGTAGTTCTAATATGTAGACACGGCAAACAAACACAACACTGTTAGCATCGAATATTTTGACGGTGCCTAACAGATAGATACACGAGGCCCTCCATTTGGTACGCGGGGTTCGGGGCCACGTTTAAAGGGTATTCGGGATCAGCAGTGTGTTACGCCGGACGCACATACAGTAAACGAACTCAAAGGGATTACTAATTTTAGTTCGTTATAACCGTAATTCGTTATGAGCATATATACAGCATAACTACAGCATATAGTCGGGACTAAAAGGTTAGTTCGTTATATCCGTTAGTTCGTTATAAGCGTGTTCGTTATAACCGTATAGTTTACTGTATATATATACAAATACAATCGTATTTGGTACTCAGATTCAACATATAAAAAAATAATAAAGTATCTTTATATATATATGTTTCCTTTATATATCTATATTTTTTCAGTAAAATAACTTCAATGCATTTGAGACCCGTGAAGATTCCGGGGTAGAATAGATCTTCAGCAACCCATGCTTGTCGTAAAAGGTGACTATGCTTGTCGTAAAAGGCGACTAACGGGATCGGGAGGTCAGGCTTGCTGACTTGGTTTATATATACATGTCATCGATCCCAAATGCGTGGATCGATGCTCATGATATTAATCAGTGGATTGTCTGGTCCAGACTCGATTATTTACAGACCGACGTCATATAGCTGGAATATTGCTGAGTGCGGCGTTAAACAACAGAGCAACCAACCAACTCAATGCATTTGAGATTTGTGTAAAGTGGTCTTCGGGTTTCAGGGGTGAGCAATGACTCGGAGTGAAGAATTAGATGGTATTCGGGATTTAGGGGAGGAGCGGGTTGGCACCGTCATATTTAATATGCATTACTACAACTGCAAGTCTGCATTTAGAATATCTCCGTATGCTTTGTGGCGCTATTTGCCTGTAATAATGCCAACTTGACGTTAAAATATAACTCACTCACTTATTTGCTTTGAATTTGATCAAACAGACAGATAAATGCCGCTCAAATATATCAGCGGAGTTTATGTCACGCATCGTGTGTCTCTGTGTAGTTTTTAAGTTCAGTATATGGCATGAATGTTTACTAATTATTTTAGCAGTTAATTTATGAATAATACTAGTCCTAACTGATCAGTTTTGACCAACGATCCAGAGCGGTTGTGATTGTTTCTATGTTTGTTTGTTTGTTTGTTTAACGCCGCACTCAGCAATATTCCCGCTATATGACGGCAGTCTGTAAATAATTGAGTCTGGACCAGACAATCAGCGACACACACACTCTATTTAAGTGCAATAATCTTGGACGTGACGTTAAACCCAACTTTCACCTGACCTCACCTGCATGTGTTTGACATGTATGCAGCCGAGAGCAAAAGTCAATGTTTTGTGCGTGTGTCATAGCGTTATACTGAGACAGTGTACATTTGGAACAGGTCGCGCGATTTTTAGAGTCACGTTTTTTTGGACATGTACACAAGGGCATTAATTAAGCACGGCCCACTTTTTCGGAAATCTGCTACCTTTTAAAAAATTGGCCAATTCACCCAGGTTTTAAAGAAGTTCTCCAACTCTCACATGGCGGCAGTACATTTATATAACTTATGCTGACAAATTAGGGTTCCGTTGTTTGTCATTATTTTTCGAAATAGGATTCTGAATCGGGTGGCATTTACTTAACACAAGGTGTATATACAATATAATGATAAATATGTTATCTGAGTATGTCTCTCTTTCATTTCGATACTCAGATACGGAGACATATAGGATTTACTAGATCGGATATTTTTCATGACTGAATGATTATGCGATAAGAGCCAAACAAGTTAATCATTTGTTTCTTATATTGTTTTTTCACCAAAGGACAGATGATTTATTTTTTGTGTTACATGCATGACAACATTGATTGTTTTTTACCAGCATTATGTTGTCACTTTGTAAATGATAGTAGAGTTTGTGTGACCCCCATTGTGTTCCATTCATTTAGTCAAGTTCCGGTAGGTAAATATAAGCAGACAAATATGATTTCAAGTTTCTCATAAAAAAACAAATCCTTTATCCTAGTTTTTCTACTGAAGAGCCGATTATGATATCGAGGATTGTTTGACCTTATCTTAATGGATTTTAGTTTTGCTTTGTTTTTTTCATTTGTTTTCAAAATCTTTTTATGAAATTTCCAATGGGCATGCCTTTGAGCGAGAAAAAATACAGGTGATTCATACTGTCCGCGTTCGAGTTTCGAACTCAAGCCTGATGAAACCGTGCTCGAATAAGCGCTTCTTCATGTCTACCGCTTACAGCAAATATATCTAAAAAAACAAGCAATATTTTAAAGTGAGGGATCTTCAAACAGCACTTTGATATTATGAAAGATGCATATTTGTTATTCTAAATGACATATTAACAGATGATTCCTAATTAGGGCAAAAAATATGTCACCATAGAGTCTTTATGTTAGAAGCGACATTTGTTTACTGTGGAAACAAAATGGCGGAAAAGATTTATTGAAATTTGTAACAAAGCAATTCAAGTTCGATTTGATCAATGATATGGCGAATGACAAAAATTCCTTAGACAATTTTGTTAACTTTAACATCTAATTTGACATATTTTTATAACAATGTAACGAAAAGTTGCTTCTGTTTTTAGCTGGGAGTTCGTGCGTAACGACGCACGTCTGCGGATACTCGAATTGTCCTATTTTCGGTCACATTTAGCTTCCGTTGTCGTGTTGATAATTATTTAAGAGCAAGTTCAAGATGGCAGGCGAAATGTTGCAGCTTGCTAAGGTAAGTTTCGTGAAATGTATTCGATTCCTTCTTGTATGGATGTTAATGTAAATTTACTTTGTTGTAAAATTAAGTTTATATGAATTTTTTAAATAATATAGTGATAAGAGTGACAATGCGATTATATCTTGAGGCACTTGCAATTCTCCGATATGTAAATGTATCCATATTAAATATTAGACATATCTCCCTCAAATTATATATGTAATTAACAGGATTGAGCGGCAGTGAATGCATATATAACTTTTGGAGGGGGGATATGGGCGGAAGTCTTTCTCTTATTATACTTAACCAATAGTCAGGTGTCAACCCATTAATATCATCATGGTCAGGAAATTACTCTTTGTAAAACTTGCCCAGAAACCATTATTCATATGTTTTGTGAATGTCAATATACAATTCATATTTGGGAGGATTTGAAAGATTGGTTAGGGACAACAGAGGAAAGGAAGTATTGATTGTAGTAACCAAAATCTTTTATTTGGATTTAAAGGAAAAAACAATAACCCATTAAATATTATATTTTTGATTGCAAAATTTGTAATTTATAAACAAATGAGAAAGAAATCAATTCCACATTTTAAACAAGTAAAGTGGGAAATAATTAAATATTATGAAGCTACAAGATCTATTGCTTTCTCAAATTGTAAACAAGCTAAATTTTTCTCTTTTTGGTCTTTATTCCACACATTATTCAAGATATGATTTAATACTACAATTTGTCTGTTATTCTGTATAGAAACCTTATATATAGATCTACCAGATGTACCAGAGAAACAAACTACTGAATGTACAAGGCGATTTGAATATATACCATGCTGATCTTAATGTAATATGTTCCATGCATACTTTGTATTTGAAATGATGGGAATAAAAAAAAAAAAAAAAAAAAAAAATCATGGTCAGGAAATCCTCCAGGAACTGTGGAGAATATTCTGGTGTGATTAACTGTTTTGGTTGATTTGTTAAGAAAGTCACAAATATATGAATCCCTTGTCTTGACTACCCTGCTACTTTATAGTGTATGCACATTAGTTATGTATGCCCCACTACATTCAGCATTGTTTTCAGCCTTTTTCATGTTATTTCTGACATATTCTGTGTACGAAATTGACTGTACCAATAACTTTTATTTTTATGATACTGTAAGCAGTTGATTTCTGTTATAACGCTTCGACAGGGAATCAAAAACAGTGGAAATAGAACTTTCCCGTTGACTTACTGTACCGTTATCGCCATTGTCTTAATAGCGCAAGCCACGTGATCATGCGCACCGCTTCAGTTATACAAATTACATTTTTTAATATCTCCGGTATCGCACTCAATTTTTTTATTCATCAAAATGAATAAGAAATGCCATCATCAATTTGTCATCTGAAAACTGAAAAAAACAATATTCCCCAAATTCGATCTACACATGCTTATCCTAACACTTTGTACTATGGATTTCGCGATATATACAGGTTATTCATTTTTTATACTGTATACTGACAGATAGAAAGCAATGACAGAATTGAAAGTGTTTTTGTTTGATTTATATTTTCTCGTGAATTAGTCACATGACTTTTCTGAAGGTGTATTTGAGCAAGGTCATTATGGTGTTTTGCTTTTAATAATTCAACACAAGAGTCTGTTTTGTTCATCATTTTCAGATAAATATTTCTCGCTTCTAATGAAAACGAGCAAAACTAAAATGAGATGCGATCATGTGCCTGCTATAATGGAAGTTGGCAATGATTGGTCCTCGGAGATAACTGGTCGCTAACCAGTAAACTATTTATCAAGAATGTTGTTTTCCATGTCTTGTTTCAATTTTACTCAATTTACTTTGAAAAGTCGTTTTTGTCCCAGTGTGTTGTATGTGTACGAGTATTTCATGCATGTGAATAATGCAGTCCAAGATTGGACAAGCAATATCTCAGGGCAGCATCAAGGACTTGAAGATGTGTTTGGAGCAAGGCCAAGATCCACTATTCAAAGACAGGGTTTGTTAACAATTTTCTTTTACCATTCAAGGGAAGAAATTATTAGGCAATTTTATTTCTATTTCTGATTAAAATTGTGAAATAACAAATAAGCTAACATCATCACTTTATGATAACTATATGTTGATGCTAGATTTATACAAATTCAGAATCAGTGTAGAACTGCAGTGATTCACTGAAATGTCAATGATTCGTGATGCCATGATGCAGGAGTCATATTCAAAGACGTTTGTATCGATAGATGCATGTATGTATATATGAGGAGCATATGTTATATTGCATGAAATTAACTACTGTCTTCTTACTGTATGTGACCAGGTTTACTACATATATGTTGGTTGAGTGTCTAGTCATTCCATCTTCCTAGTAGACTAACATTTACTCTCTGAAATCTTATATTACACAAGATCCTTCTTGACTCTAAAAAAAATAAAATTCCCTATGCTGATTTCAGTGTGTCAGATTCATGATGATTACATGTGTGGAGATCAGCCATCCCAGGTCACCCTGGTAATCCCCTCAGTAACCCCCCCCCCCCCCCCCCCCCCCCCATTTACGCCTCTCCCTACTGCCTCAGCTGTATTTTGTTACAGTAAACCTAGATGGGAGCACTACCAGTGCTAGGCTGTCATCTGAACAAGATTCTCTGATATGATAAGGAAGGGACTTAATTACCATTCGCTATTTCGAACGGTCCTCTCCCCAAAATGACATGACTGTGGAATAGAGCTAGCTTGAGCTGGCTAGACTTGCTTTTGTATGCATTTCTAGATTATGTTTTTTTCACAAAATAAATATATTCCACGGTCATGGTGCAGGACTAGGTCCCTAGGTGTCCCTTGATTCAAGTACTACACGAACAAACCTCAATGATCCCTGGACCCTTCTGGACTTTAAACATGTGCTGTTGTGTATTGTATTTTGATCTCACAACCTACGAGATCATCCAAAAACCTTATTGCTGCAACCCTTTCCCATAGTTAACAAGTAGCACAAGGGAAGACAGAGCACTTCTCTCATTCTCTGAGACAAATGAACATTTCTATTAAAAGACTACAGTAGTTTTAGCCAAATGTACTTGTCATATGTTATGTCAACCACAAGTCCAAAACTTAACATATCTCATGTTGTCTACCCTTGTGATACATTCTGAGGTTTTACAGAGTTGTCTACCCTGTGGAGTTACAGAGTTGTCTACCCTGTGTAGTTATCAGAAAGCTGTCTCATGTTTCAGAAAGACAACACGTACCTGCACTATGTGTGCACCATGCACCGACCGCACATCATCCACATCCTCTTCACAACACCTATCAACATCAACGCACAAAATAGGGTGAGTTTTGTCCTGTGGTGTTCTGAAGTTAAAAATATATTGTGATGAAAAAGAAACCTTCAATGGATGCAAATTTGCAATATGCATCTGATCTATATGGCACATGTTAAGATACATCAATGTGGTGCATCCAATAATTTCTACATTATGTTTTGTCCAACCTGTTGCTGTGGTTGTGGCCAGCAACCTTCAACCTGCCGCTATATGAACCACAACAGTGTTTCTGAGTGTTATGTATTTAATGACTCAACTTAAACACAGATCAGGTCTTTGAAAGGAATTTAGAAGTCATATACATAAGGAAGAGAATATATGGATGTCAACCTCTTTATTACGAGGAACACGTTTCTGAGTATATGCTTACTCCTTCATCAGGTTATTTTATTTTTGACCTCTTGAGAAATCTTTTGCTTGTAGCTTTATAAAATAGATTCCAACCTTCTGGAGAGTGGGTGAGTGGGTGAGTGAGTGAGTGAGTGAGTGAGTGAGTGAGTGAGTGAGTGAGTGAGTGAGCTAATATTTAATGGGAACAATCATAAAATGCATTCCTAAAAAGCAGCTCCTTGTTAGAGACGACAGCGGTGGGGATCAGGTGGCCATGTGGCTTCCTGGGGCTAGGGTTGAAACGATACATCGGTGCACCTGTGCATCTTGAGTTATCATGTGACGATATAATACACGATACGTTTTTTCTGTATCGATTCAAGATGATACATAAATTACTTACTACACGTTTAATGATCCCTGACGTTTTTGTCAGTAAGATAACACAAGATGTGTTGTAATAAGTGTAACAAGTTCACTACTAAAACTAGCCACTACAACATGTGTCTACAGCTAGAGTTTCCTTTTGAACTTGCTCTGAAAGATTTATTGTCAAGAAGCTTCCATGCGATTTGACGTAAATATGCGTATCAGTATACGTATCGTATCGTGACATGTGTATCGCGATATGTATCGTATTGTGACCTTGGTGTATCACTTCACCCCTACCTGAGCCACTGTGAGTACATGTTGTAATTCTGCTGACCTTGTGTTGGTCCAGCACGGCAACACGCCCCTACACGTGACGGCGCTGCAGGAGGAGTGCTGCCATGTCGCTGACCTGATGGCAGCTGGCGCTGACCCCACTGTGAGGAACAAGGTAAACAGGACACGCTAGCCTAACAGTCTCAGTAACAAACATGTGTTGCAAATGTGAAACAAAAAAATCTAGACTTGCCGGAGTACTGTAAATTATCTTGGGAGTTTAAGATGTGTTTGTGTCGGGGTCTGTGTGAGGGACTGAAGACGTCCACTCAAATACCTCATTTGTCAGCTGCCACATACCCTTGCTGCAGACAGTTTGTATGATCAGCTGATAATGTTATTTGATTGTGACTTTGATTAGTGTCACGCGGATGGCTTTGAGTCCTTCAATCTGACTTCGATTAGTGTCACGTGGCTGGCTTTGAATCCTTTAATCCGACTTTGATTAGTGTCACACGGCTGGGATTGAGTCCTTTAATCCGACTTTGATTAGTGTCACACGGCTGGGATTGAGTCCTTTAATCTGACTTTGATTAGTGTCACACGGCTGGGATTGAGTCCTTTAATCCGACTTTGATTAGTGTCACACGGCTGGCATTGAGTCCTTTAATCCGACTTTGATTGGTGTCACATGGCTGGCTTTGAGTCCTTTAATCTGACTTTGATTAGTGTCACGCGGATGGCTTTGAGTCCTTTAATCCGACTTTGATTAGTGTCATGCGGCTGGCTTTGAGTCCTTTAATCCGACTTTGATTAGTGTCATGCGGCTGGCTTTGAGTCCTTTAATCCGACTTTGATTAGTGTCACACGGCTGGCATTGAGTCCTTTAATCCGACTTTGATTAGTGTCATGCAGCTGGCTTTGAGTCCTTTAATCCGACTTTGATTAGTGTCACACGGCTGGCATTGAGTCCTTTAATCCGACTTTGATTAGTGTCATGCGGCTGGCTTTGAGTCCTTTATCCGACTTTGATTAGTGTCATGCGGCTGGCATTGAGTCCTTTAATCCGACTTTGATTAGTGTCACACGGCTGGCATTGAGTCCTTTAATCCGACTTTGATTAGTGTCATGCGGCTGGCTTTGAGTCCTTTATCCGACTTTGATTAGTGTCATGCGGCTGGCATTGAGTCCTTTAATCCGACTTTGATTAGTGTCACACGGCTGGCTTTGAGTCCATTAATACGACTTTGATTAGTGTCACACGGCTGGCATTGAGTCCTTTAATCCGACTTTGATTAGTGTCATGCGGCTGGCTTTGAGTCCTTTATCCGACTTTGATTAGTGTGACACGGCTGGCATTGAGTCCTTTAATCTGACTTTGATTAGTGTCATGCCGCTTGCTTTGAGTCCTTTAATCCGACTTTGATTAGTGTCATGCGGCTGGCTTTGAGTCCTTTAATCCGACTTTGATTAGTGTCACACGGCTGGCATTGAGTCCTTTAATCCGACTTTGATTAGTGTCATGCGGCTGGCTTTGAGTCCTTTATCCGACTTTGATTAGTGTCATGCGGCTGGCATTGAGTCCTTTAATCCGACTTTGATTAGTGTCATGCGGCTGGCTTTGAGTCCTTTAATCCGACTTTGATTAGTGTCACACGGCTGGCATTGAGTCCTTTAATCCGACTTTGATTAGTGTCATGCGGCTGGCTTTGAGTCCTTTATCCGACTTTGATTAGTGTCACACGGCTGGCATTGAGTCCTTTAATTTGACTTTGATTAGTGTCATGCCGCTTGCTTTGAGTCCTTTAATCCGACTTTGATTAGTGTCATGCGGCTGGCTTTGAGTCCTTTAATCCGACTTTGATTAGTGTCACACGGCTGGCATTGAGTCCTTTAATCCGACTTTGATTAGTGTCACACGGCTGGCATTGAGTCCTTTAATCCGACTTTGATTAGTGTCATGCGGCTGGCTTTGAGTCCTTTAATCTGACTTTGATTGGCACTTTCTGAGTAACAAGGAAGTGTTTCTACTCATATCTATTTCATTAAAGGATATGTACATAACTGAATGAGCAATTGCACTGTACATTAACTGCGATAATAGAGGTGTTGAGAAAGGTACTAGATATACTTGCACTTCCCAGAACTGATAAGGTGCCAATGCCAACTTCGAGATAAAGGTACAAAGTTGTATAGTAAAGTAAAACTTGGGACCGAGTACAAGGTTCGAGATAGCACTACATATTTTTATCTCGAATTCAAGACAAGAGGGATAATTTATGTGTGTTTATATTGTGAGGCAGTTGGGACTGGATTGGTTCGAGATATTGGTATGTTCAAGATAACAGAGTTTGAGATAACAAGGTTCGTCTGTACAATAATTGATGATATGTTTTGACAGGATGGAAAGACGGCCTCCGAGCTTAAAACTAAAAACAAATTCTGGCAGTCAATATACAACAAGTACCAGGTAATATGCCTTTCTTATTTTACTGAACAATCATTATAATTGTAAAGCACTACTGTTGTCACTGATACTGTGACACTAATATTACTTCTGTTGTCATGGATACTGTGATAGTAATGTCTCGACTGTTGTCATGGATACTGTGAAGTAATGTCTCTACTGTTGTCATGGATACTGTGATAGTAATATCACTTCTGTTGTCATGGATACTGTGATAGTAATATATATCATTGCTGTTGTCATGGAAACTGTGATAGTATGATCTCTACTGTTGCCACTGATAATGTGAAAATAATATCCCTTCTGTTGTCATGGATACTGTGACTCTAATATTTCTGCTGTTGTGGCTCCAGCCGGGGATCTTCCAGGCGGTGTCTGACCATGATGTGGAGCGCGTATTGGAGCTGCTGCACTGCTGGAGCATGGTGGACTCTGTCAGGGTGCGTAGGTCACCTCATGCTGTCACCTCATCCATTTTACCATATCAATAAATTGCAAGTTATTTGTGATATTAGGCCACACCCACTAACGGATTCTGTTTCCTGATTGGCTGATGATAGAATTGTCTGGGCCTGTGTTGCATTATTGCTCAGCAGATTCACACAGTGTGCACACCAGGTTTCATACCTCCAAGAACACAACAATTTTGAAGTCAGTTCTAAATATCACCTCCATGTATCCTGAAGATTGTTGACGTCATTCGTCAGTTGTGGTTTTCTAAGATGGCGGTCATGATCAGTGCATGTTTTTAAAGGGGAGGAATAATGGGTAATAAATACATTATTACACTTGCATGTGTGTCATACTGATTTTACAAAACTCATGAAAGAATTCATCGCTCGGGAAATACAAGAAATCATTAAAAAAAATTAGTATGACACACATGTGATATAATAATCTCTATATAATACAGTCAGGATTCATATGCCACCTTTATGTATATTAGCTGCATCTATATCACCGTCAGTAACAATTAGTCTTCAGTTGGATGAAGACCAACCATAGCTAGAGGATTACTGGTTTCCGTTAAACAGATCAGTTGTACCTGTATGTCATGTTGAACTTGTATGTCATGTTGTACCTGTATGTCATGTTGTACCTGTATGTCATGTTGAACTTGTATGTCATGTTGAACTTGTATGTCATGTTGTACCTGTATGTCATGTTGAACTTGTATGTCATGTTGAACTTGTATGTCATGTTGTACCTGTATGTCATGTTGAACTTGTATGTCATGTTGTACCTGTATGTCATGTTGTACCTGTATGTCATGTTGTACCTGTATGTCATGTGGAACTCCCCCAGAATGGCCAGACACTACGCCAGTTTGCTGCTGCCCTCAAGTTCCATGACATCGTCTTCCTGCTGGATGATCACAAACCAACCTTGGTGAGTTACCTCCCCTGTCCCCCCTCCCTGCTGCTGTAAATCATGAAATGAGTGCACCACCAAGTTAATACAGGTGTGGACCCATGGCCTGAGACGTGTCATGAAATAAATGCGAGTCGCTTTGTTATATATGCCATTGTTTCCACCGATGAGAGTGAGGTGACATCACAATGAACTCCAATAAGTCGAGATAAAACTGAGTCACTTTATTAATGGGAGCAAGGGACACTCACACTTCTTGCATTAATTCCTGCTTGCAATAATTTCATGATTTACATGAGTTGAAATATATTCTTTAAGATAAGTCGTCCCATTCCTTGTATTTTGCTGATATTTTAATGACAGAAAACAGCCCTAACTCATTTCATCCATTGACCTTTGTAGGATGCAGTTTATGGAGTGCTGGAGGTCAACAAGGTCAAGGTGAAGGCCGCACTGAAGAAATCGAAATGCAATATCAATTTCCTGAATCATGTGAGTGACAACTTAACCAGTCTGTCCTCAGGTCTCTTCGGGAACATGATGGGCATTGTCATCATCTAGCATACCTGATGTGGTACATTTGATGATGACAATAAAAATAATACTGTTACTATGGAAATGTGGGCTTGGGCTGGGTGGGAGGTGTTGGAGGTTCTAATATCCTGCCTACATGTATTCATGGTCCCCAGGGGGTAGAACAGCCTGATTGCGTGTCATGGTGCCCTGGTGGATTCGGATGCTGTTCATAATGTAATTATTACCCACTGATTTGTCAGTCCAGAGATGATTATCTCCAACGTGCATGGTATAGCTAGAATATGTCTGAGTGCAGTATTCACTCTTGATGTATTTTGCCGTCTTCCTGAGGCAAGAGAGTTAACTCACTGTAAAAGTCCAGTTTCAACACTTGCTGAACTAGGCTGGAATTCCGTAGTTACAGTTTGGCTGGACTAACAAGTCAATGCATAGTCCAATCAAAATCTTGATTATCAATCTTGGCTGGGCAATGCCATTTTGTTTGAAGCAAATGCAAGTGATGTGAGAGGTGGAATCTGATTGGGCAATAGAAGGGACATAACTCATAATAGCCACTGGTGGCGCTACGATCGAGCCCAGAAATTCCAGCCGATTTGGGCAAGGGTGAAAACGACTTTTGCAGTTAGTTAACACCCTTGCCTCAGGATGTATTTGCAGAACTGCATACTAAGCACATTATGTCCTTTCTGGCAAGACTTTCAGTCAGCATGTCATTCTGCTTCCAGGCTTCTACTAGGCGACATATCCTGCAGTACGCCATCCGTCTCCATGAAGTCGACCTTGTGACCCTCATCTGTAATGCGGGCGCTGATGTCAACTTACCTGTTCTTGTCAACAGCTATTACTGGGTATGTTGACAGTGTCTACTCCTGGGTATGTTAACAATACTGTCTACTCCTGGGTATGTTGACAGTGTCTACTCCTGGGTATGTTAACAATACTGTCTACTCCTGGGTATGTTAACAATACTGTCTACTAGTGGGTACATTAACAATACTGTCTACTAGTGGGTACATTAACAATACTGTCTACTAGTGGGTATGTTGACAATACTGTCTACTAGTGGGTACATTAACAATACTGTCTACTAGTGGGTATGTTAACAATACTGTCTACTCCTGGGTATGTTAACAATACTGTCTATTAGTGGGTATGTTAACAAAACTGTCTACTAGTGGGTACATTAACAATACTGTCTACAAGTGGGTATGTTAACAATACTGTCTACTAGTGGGTACATTAACAATACTGTCTACTAGTGGGTATGTTGACAATACTGTCTACTCCTGGGTATGTTAACAATACTGTCTACTAGTGGGTACATTAACAATACTGTCTTCTACTGGGTATGTTAACAATACTGTCTATTAGTGGGTATGTTAACAAAACTGTCTACTAGTGGGTACATTAACAATACTGTCTACAAGTGGGTATGTTAACAATACTGTCTACTAGGAGGTATGTTAACAATACTGTCTACTACTGTGTATGTTAACAATACTGTCTACTCCTGGGTATGTTAACAATACTGTCTACTAGTGGGTACATTAACAATACTGTCTACTAGTGGGTACATTAACAATACTGTCTACTAGTGGGTATGTTGACAATACTGTCTACTAGTGGGTACATTAACAATACTGTCTACTAGTGGGTATGTTAACAATACTGTCTACTCCTGGGTATGTTAACAATACTGTCTATTAGTGGGTATGTTAACAAAACTGTCTACTAGTGGGTACATTAACAATACTGTCTACAAGTGGGTATGTTAACAATACTGTCTACTAGTGGGTACATTAACAATACTGTCTACTAGTGGGTATGTTGACAATACTGTCTACTCCTGGGTATGTTAACAATACTGTCTACTAGTGGGTACATTAACAATACTGTCTTCTACTGGGTATGTTAACAATACTGTCTATTAGTGGGTATGTTAACAAAACTGTCTACTAGTGGGTACATTAACAATACTGTCTACAAGTGGGTACATTAACAATACTGTCTTCTACTGGGTACGTTAACAATACTGTCTACAAGTGGGTATGTTAACAATACTGTCTACTAGGAGGTATGTTAACAATACTGTCTACTATTGTGTATGTTAACAATACTGTCTACTATTGTGTATGTTAACAATACTGTCTACTAGGAGGTATGTTTACAATACTGTCTATTAGTGTGTATGTTAACAATACTATCTACTAGTGGGTACATTAACAGTACTGTTTACTACTTGGTACGTTAACAATACTGTCTACAAGTGGGTATGTTAACAATACTGTCTACTACTGAGTATCTTAACAATGCTGTCTACTAGTGGGTATGTTAAGAACATTCTCTGGTACATATGTTAACAGGACTGTCTACCATTGCATATGTTAACACTGTGTACTACTGGGTATGTTGACAACACTTTCCCCACTGCTGAGTGATGATGATGATGATGATGATGATGATGATGATGATGATGATGATGTATGCTCTCTTAATGTTCACTCCAGGGTCCCCTGTACTTTGAGGGCATCAACAGCAAGCTGCCTGCAGAGATTATATGGAAGGTGCTGAAGAGCAAGCCCGACTTCAGCCTGAAGGATGAGGTACTGGAAGCAGAGATAAATATAGCAGCAATAATTATTTCTTGGCGAATCACTTTATAATCAAAGTAGTAATAATGCTCTTGGGTTTTGGTAATGTGAACACAAATCATTTCAAGGTGTCAGCCTATTCACTATTTTTCCTAATGTCAGAAAGACAAAATGAGTAAGTGATGCCAGGTAGTTGGTGTGGAACATGACCATGAGCTGTTCTGCACTCACAGCGAGGACGGAACTGTATGATGTTCAGTCTGGACAAGACCAATGGAGCCATGCCACTTGACGTCATCACGTACATGCTGAAGCAGGGAGCCTACATAGCGGACAGGGATGAGGTGAGCCGGCAGTCCTGGTGATGACTGGGGAGGTGGGGAGGGAGTTCGCATACAGTGGCTCAGCATTGCATAAACACGATATCCGTTGGTGTGATATATGCATAGAGAAGCAAATATCAAAGGTCAAGTAGGGACTACTTTTAGTGTTTATAAACAAACTGTGTCTAACTGAAAATCAGTGTCTAACTGGGACATAGGTAAGACATTTCACAAGTTTTGGCAACTTTGGAGATATGAATTGTGAAACAATTTAATGAGGACACTAGACAAGTGGGATCAGTTTCCATATCTGTGCTTGTAGACCTCTGCAGCTTGGAACCCAGTTAAAACAGTTTGATTTGGCCGAAATATGTCGGAATTGTTACCGTGTCTCATATTGTTGCTGTGTGTACATCTGATTGCACTAAGTAACATTAGGACAGGACAGGTCGACTTTAAACTAACATAACTAGGGTTAGAGTAGCTTCCCTTTGATAAAGGGCCTTTACTCTAGTGGACCGATGGATTGCCAAGGAACGTAAGTAGAAACAATTTGTGTAGGCAATTGACTGTTGTCTCTCTCCGACTGACAAATCGCTTACCTTCTGACGTAATATATATTAATGCGCACATTCCATGTGAGGCAGTGCAAACTCACATACAGTGGTGCGGTGTGGCGTATACCGTTATACATAGTATAGGGGATGCGTGTGTATGTCGGGGGAGATCATGTACATTGGCACAGTGTGGCGTATACCGTTATACATAGTATAGAGGATGTGTGTGTATGTGTGGCGAGATCGCGTACGTTGGCAAAGCGTGGCATATACTGGTATAAATGGTTTAGGTGGAACAGTTTTGTGTGAATGATTTTGTAATTAATTTTGTCCGTCCATGTTGGATAATATGTGGATGATTTATGTCCATTCTTTGTATTTTCTTTACAGACAGGGTCAAATATTCGAGATGTGGCTCGGTTTGCACGTCGCCGCGATGTGGTCAACCTGCTTGACAAGGTGATTATATGTAGAGTTCCGCACCGACTAAACTATAGCAGGAGTGAATTACCCTGGGATATACGTTCTACAGTCCTTGCACCGAGTGGTGGCGCTTTACATGTAGAGTGCCTGACTGTTGTGTGTGCCTGACTGTTGTGTGTGGCTGACTTGTGTGTGGTTGACTGTTGTGTGTGGCTGACTGTTGTGTGTGCCTGACTTGTGTGTGCCTGACTGTTGTGTATTGTTGACTGTTGTGTTTGGCTGACTGTTGTGTGTGGCTGACTGTTGTGTGTGACTGACTGTTGTGTGTGGCTGACTTGTGTATTGTTGACTGTTGTGTGTGTCTGACTGTTGTGTTTGGCTGACTGTTGTGTGTGGCCGACTGTTGTGTGTGGTTGACTGTTGTGTGTGGCTGACTGTTGTGTGTGGCTTACTGTTGTGTGTGGTTGACTGTTGTGTGTGGTTGACTGTTGTGTTCGGCTGACTGTTGTGTGTGGCTGACTGTTGTGTGTGGCCAACTGTTGCGTGTGGCCGACTGTTGCGTGTGGTTGACTGTTGTGTGTGGTTGATGTTGTGGGTGGCTGACTGTTTTGTGTGGCTGACTGTTGTGTGTGGCTGACTGTTGTGGGTGGTTGACTGTTGTGTGTGGCTGTCTGTTGTGTGTGGTTGATGGTTGTGTGTGGCTGACTGTTGTGTGTGGCTGACTGTTGTGTGTGGCCAACTGTTGCGTGCGGCCGACTGTTGTGTGTGGCTGACTGTTGTGTGTGCCTGACTTGTGTGTGCCTGACTGTTGTGTGTGGCTGACTGTTGTGTGTGGCTGACTGTTGTGTGTGGCTGACTGTTGTTGGTGGCTGACTGTTGTGTGTGGCTGACTGTTGTGTATTGTTGACTGTTGTGTTTGGCTGACTGTTGTGTGTGGCTGACTGTTGTGTGTGACTGACTGTTGTGTGTGGCTGACTTGTGTATTGTTGACTGTTGTGTGTGTCTGACTGTTGTGTTTGGCTGACTGTTGTGTGTGGCTGACTGTTGTGTGTGGTTGACTGTTGTGTGTGGCTGACTGTTGTGTGTGGCTTACTGTTGTGTGTGGTTGACTGTTGTGTGTGGTTGACTGTTGTGTTTGGCTGACTGTTGTGTGTGGCTGACTGTTGTGTGTGGCCAACTGTTGCGTGTGGCCGACTGTTGCGTGTGGTTGACTGTTGTGTGTGGTTGATGTTGTGGGTGGTTGACTGTTGTGTGTGGCTGTCTGTTGTGTGTGGTTGATGGTTGTGTGTGGCTGACTGTTGTGTGTGGCTGACTGTTGTGTGTGGCCAACTGTTGCGTGCGGCCGACTGTTGCGTGTGGTTGAATGTTGTGTGTGGTTGATGTTGTGGGTGGCTGACTGTAGTGTGTGGCTGACTGTTGTGTGTGGTTGACTGTTGTGTGTGGCTGACTGTTGTTGGTGGCTGACTGTTGTGTGTGGTTGACTGTTGTGTGTGGATGTATGTTGTGTGTGGTTGATGTTGTGTTTGGTTGACTGTTGTGTTTGGCTGACTGTTGTGTGTGGCTGACTGTTGTATGTGGCTGACTGTTGTGTCTTGTTGATGTTGTGTGTGGTTGACTGTTGTGTTTGGCTGACTGTTGTGTGTGGCTGACTTGTGTGTGGCTGACTGTTGTTGGTGGCTGACTGTTGTATGTGGCTGACTGTTGTGTGTGGCTGTCTGTTGTGTGTTGTTGACTGTTGTGTGTGGTTGACTGTTGTGTTTGGCTGACTGTTGTGTGTGGCTGACTTGTGTGTGGCTGACTGTTGTTGGTGGCTGACTGTTGTGTGTGGTTGACTGTTGTGTGTGGCTGTCTGTTGTGTGTGGTTGATGTTGTGTGTGGTTGACTGTTGTGTTTGGCTGACTGTTGTTGGTGGCTGACTGTTGTTGGTGGCTGACTGTTGTGTGTGGTTGACTGTTGTGTGTGGCTGTCTGTTGTGTGTGGTTGATGTTGTGTGTGGCTGACTGTTGTGTTTAGCTGACTGTTGTATGTGGCTGACTGTTGTTTGTGGCTGACTGTTGTGTGTGGTTGACTGTTGTGTGTGGGTGACTGTTGTGGGTGGCTGACTGTTGTTGGTGGCTGACTGTTCTGTGTGGTTGACTGTTGTGTATGGCTGACTGTTGTTTCGTTTGATCCTTGCGTGACTTGTGTTTCAGTTCTATGTGAAGATCCTGAGAGGGTCTGACCTGGAGACATTGAGGAAACTCTCTGTGGACGGATATGACAGTCTTCTGATTCAGCACAATGTGAGTGTTGAGGGCACGTTGTTTCTCTCTCTCTGTGGATTCAGCACAATGTGAGTGTGGAGGGCACGTTGTTTCTCTCTCTCTGTGGATTCAGCACAATGTGAGTGTGGAGGGCACGTTGTTTCTCTCTCTCTGTGGATTCAGCACAATGTGATTGTGGAGGGCACGTTGTTTCTCTCTCTCTGTGGATTCAGCACAATGTGAGTGTGGAGGGCACGTTGTTTCTCTCTCTCTGTGGATTCAGCACAATGTGAGTGTGGAGGGCACGTTGTTTCTCTCTCTCTGTGGATGCATTGTCACTGACTCACATGTCTTTCTTGAGGTGTGAAGTGAGGTGAAATGGGGTTAACGTCGCATTCAAGATTATTGCACTTAAATAGCGACGTGCAGGTCTCTGTGTGTGTTTGTGACTGCTTGTACTGGTCAGGACTAATGCTGAGTTTATAGTGCTAGCCTACTGAGATACCATGCCACAGTTTACTGATGAGTACCATCTTCTAACGTTTTTTGGTATGATGCGTCTCGGGATCCTACCCACGTCATTCCCCTCTCCGGGCAGACGCTCTATCCACTAGACCACAGAGGTGGTCTCTTTCTTGAGATTAGAAACAGTTTGTGGTTCAGACGCTGATTCCACTGTAGGTACCCTATACGTCAAAGTCAGGACCGAAAACAAAACATTTTTTTTATCCTTATAAAATTGCATACATTTTCTATAATGCTTGTTTTTTTTAAAGGTGTTGCTATTGATGTTGTTTTCAGTATCGTGACACCTACATCTATGCCTGTGGGAATGAAACGGATGATGTACTCAAGTTTACAAACTGGCTTCCAGAATTCCAGGTAATCAATAGATAGCGTGATGTTTGAAAAACATTTTAAATATGCCGTCTGAAATACCTTGTTTGGAAACAGTTTTGACGTATGGAGTTTATGGAAGATGTAAAGTTTAAAGTTATGTTTTCATTTCAGAAAAATGTCATCTTAATTCATAAACAAATCCGAAATTCCAACAAGAGTGTTGTTGAGAAGTTGTTGTCAGATCCAGAGAAGTGCCCGGACATGCTGGTCAACGCCAGGGATAAGGTAGAACAACAGAGAATTACTTTTTATAAAACCAGATACCATGTTAGAAAAGGTCTCCCTCAACCTTTACTGGTTGCAAGAGGAGACGCTGTGGTTAGACCCCTAAAACCTGTTTTGGTTGTGAGAAGAGACTCTGTTAGAATAAGTCCCAAGCAACCTATGCTGGCGACTGGATTGGGTAGTCAGGCTCACTGACGTGGTTGATGGTCTGTAACCGTATCCAATCGCGGGATCGTTGCTCATAACATCAGTCACTGGATTGTCTGGTCCAGACTCCATGATGTACAAGCCTTCTCATAAAGCTGGAATACTGCTGAGTGCGGCATTCAACAACAAAGACACAGACCAATACATAGTGGCAGCCATATTGTCAAGTAGTGGTTATTGCCAAACACCAGCAATGAGGATCATAGCAATAGATCATGATACAACTGATAGGGTCTCTACCAGTCAATGGGTCATGACAGCTCCATCTGCATCTTGTTCACCACGCGAGGCGTTGCGAGGGTTGAGGCTGAGGTGATGGGTAGGGGAGGTGACTCTAACTTTTGAATCTTCTCACCCGAAACTGCTTGTCAGCCTTTATCACCTGAGACCCGTGAACATCCGGGTAGAGAATTGGTCTTCAGCAACCCGTGCTTGCGTTAAGAGGCGACTATGCTGGTCGTAAGAGGTGACTAACGTGACTCACTGACTTGGTAGATGCATGTCATCATATCCCAATTGCGTGGATAGATGCTCATAAACAACAAACAAACACATGTTACCAGCTGATGCCAGCTGAGCTTTCCAGAACTTTCCAGAACTTTCCAGAACTTTCCAGAACTTTCCAGACTTCTACTTGACTCGGTGAAGGCATGGTGTATTTGCAAGTCCTGAGGCTATATGATGTTGGAGGTGATCGGAGGTGTATATGTTTCAGGGAGGTCGGTCATCTCTGCACCTGGCTGTGTTGTTCGAGAACTTCGATATTGCCAAATATTTAATGTCAATACCGGCAGTGGACATAAATGTAAAAGATTGCGTAAGTTGAAAATATAATTGTTTGCTCTGCACCTGTCTTTTTATGTTTGATTGATATGGTTATTTAAAGTGAAATTGTCTTTACTTCTGTGATGGCACTTCATGAGGATGTATTACTTGAGTTGCTGTGACAAAAACGTCACTTCAGCTTAATAAGGTGGGGTATGGGTGTGTTGTGTACAAGTATGGTGTGTTGTGTACAAGTAGGGTGTGTTGTGTACAAGTAGGGTGTGTTGTGTACAAGTAGGGTGTGATGTGTACAAGTAGGGTGTGTTGTGTTCAAGTAGGGTGTGTTGTGTACAAGTAGGGTGTGATGTGTACAAGTAGGGTGTGTTGTGTACAAGTAGGGTGTGTTGTGTACAAGTAGGGTGTGTTGTGTACAAGTAGGGTGTGTTGTGTACAAGTAGGGTGTGTTGTGTACAAGTAGGGTGTGTTGTGTACAAGTAGAATGTGTTGTGTACAAGTAGAATGTGTTGTGTACAAGTAGGGTGTGGCGTGTTGCAGCATCTACGCAGCGTGTATCACTACGCATGTTCCGTTCCTGGAGCTGAGGAGATCCGCCTGGCTCTCATACAGGGGGGCGTCGACACACAGGCGCTCGATACGGTGAGTACTTTCTAAGAATGAAACTATATACACTTCCTTGCGCATCGTTATTTTAAAGATGGATAAAAACTTCTTCAGAACAAGCACCAAGAAACGTGTTGACAAACAACAATAACGAAATTATGAATATTTGCTTTCATGACTTCAACCAAATCAATGTATTTGTAAGTGCCAAACAAAGATTTGTCCATAGTAACACATAGTTAACATCGACACGATACAAGACATGATACAAGACACGATACAAGACATGATACAAGACATGATACAAGGCATGATACAGACATGATACAAGACATGATACAGACATGATACAAGGCATGATATAGACTGTGAAACTGAGTTTGTGATCATATGGTCAGACATTTCTTGTTTGACACATGTATAATAGAGTGTGTTTGTTCTGCCGGGTACCCACATAGAGCTGGAAGACGGGGGAGGACTACCGACGCGTGACGGGGAAGGTCCCGGCATGGGTGGCAACATGCAAGACGGTGAGCAATTCAAGCCACTTCTCTGCAGTCTAGTTAAATTCTTTACCGGGGTATGAGATCCGGGGTAGAATAGGTCTTCAGCAACCCATTCTTGTCGTAAAAGGGGTCTGTGTTTGTTGTAAGAGGCGACTAACGGGATTGGGTGGTCAGGCTCGCTGGCTTGGTTGATCATATCCAATTAGCGTGGATCGATGCTCATGATGTCAATCATTGGATTGTCTGCTTCAGACTTGATTATTTACTGAACGGCATCATATAGCTGGGATATTGATGAATGCGGTGTTAAACAACAAACAATACAAATTATTTCTTTACAATTGCCGAATCAAATAATCTTACATATAATATGACTAAAATTACTGGAATAATGACCAGAGAGAAGTTCACATTGTGGACCAAGTGACAGGAGATTATGACAGTGGTGTAAGTCTTCCTTACATTGAAAGCCTCTGTGACTTGGTGGGACGTATAAACACAAAACTGCCTCACCTGCCTCACCTGTCTCACCTGCCTCACCTGCCTCACCTGCCTCACCGGTCTCACCGGTCTCACCATTCAAGGTTAACATTGTGACCAGCATGAAACTTGAAGATATGAATGCATAATGACCATAATGTGTTGCTACAGTTACTGCTATCTGTCTTCTTCCAGGCCAAGTTCAGCATGGCGCTGGAGCTAAAGTGTGTGGACAAGGTCGGTGCTAACATACAGTCTGGTACACAGCAACATACAGTCTGTTACACAGCAACATACAGTCCATCACACATCAATATACAGTCTGTTACACAGCAACACACAGTCTGTTACACAGCAACATACAGTCTGGTGCACAGCAACATACAGTCCATCACACAGCAATATACAGTCTGGTGCACAGCAACATACAGTCCATCACACAGCAATATATAGTCCATTACACAGCAACATACAGTCCATCACACATCAACATACAGTCTGTTACACAGCAACATACAGTCTGTCTCACAGCAACATACATTCTGTGACACATCAACATACAGTCCATCACACATCAACATACAGTCTGTTACACAGCAACATACAGTCCATCACACATCAACATACAGTCTGTTACACAGCAACATACAGTCCATCACACATCAACATACAGTCTGTTACACAGCAACATACAGTCCATCACACATCAACATACAGTCTGGTACACAGCAACATACAGTCTGGTGCACAGCAACATACAGTCTGTCTCACAGCAACATACATTCTGTGACACAGCAGCATACAGTCCATCACACATCAACATACAATCTGTTACACAGCAACATACAGTCTGGTACACAGCAACATACAGTCCATCACACATCAATATACAGTCTTTTACACATCAACATACAGTCTGTTACACATCAACATACAGTCTGTTACACAGCAACATACAGTCCATCACACATCAATATACAGTCTGTTACACATCAACATACAGTCCATCACACATCAACATACAGTCTGTTACACAGCAACATACAGTCTGTTACACAGCAACATACAGTCTGTAACACATCAACATACAGTCTGTCTCACAGCAACATACATTCTGTGACACAGCAACATACAGTCCATCACACATCAACATACAGTCTGTTACACAGCAACATACAGTCCATCACACATCAACATACAGTCTGTTACACATCAACACACAGTCTGTTACACAGCAACATACAGTCTGTAACACATCAACATACAGTCTGTTACACAGCAACATACAGTCTGTTACACAGCAACATACAGTCCATCACACATCAATATACAGTCTGTCACACAGCAACATACAGTCCATCACACATCAACATACAGTCTGTTACACAGCAACATACAGTCTGTCTCACAGCAACATACAGTCTGTTACACAGCAACATACAGTCCATCACACATCAACATACAGTCTGTCTCACAGCAACATACAGTCCATCACACATCAACATACAGTCTGTTACACAGCAACATACAGTCTGTCACACATCAACATACAGTCTGTCTCACAGCAACATACAGTCCATCACACATCAACATACAGTCTGTTACACAGCAACATACAGTCCATCACACATCAACATACAGTCTGTTACACATCAACATACAGTCCGTTACACAGCAACATACAGACTGTTACACGGCAACATACAGTCTGTTACACATCAACACACAGTCTGTTACACAGCAACACACAGTCTGTTACACAGCAACATACAGTCTGTAACACATCAACATACAGTCTGTCTTACAGCAACATACATTCTGTGACACAGCAACATACAGTCCATCACACATCAACATACAGTCTGGTACACAGCAACATACAGTCCATCACACATCAACATACAGTCTGGTACACAGCAACATACAGTCCATCACACATCAACATACAGTCTGTTACACAGCAACATACAGTCCATCACACAGCAATATACAGACTGTTACACATCAACATACAGTCCATCACACATCAACATACAGTCTGTTACACAGCAACATACAGTCCATCACACATCAACATACAGTCTCTTACACAGCAACATACAGTCCATCACACAGCAATATACAGTCTGGTGCATAGCAACATACAGTCTGTTACACAGCAACATACAGTCTGTTACACATCAACATACAGTCTGTCTCACAGCAACAGACATTCCGTGACACAGCAACATACATTCCGTGACACAGCAATATACAGACTGTTACACAGCAACATACAGTCTGTTACACAGCAACATACAGTCTGTTACACAGCAACATACAGTCTGTTACACAGCAACATACAGTATGTTACACAGCAATATACAGTCTGGTACACATCAAAATAAAGTCTGGTGCACAGCAACATACAGTCCATCTCACAGCAACATACAGTCCATGACACATCAACATACAGTCTGTTACACAGCAACATACAATACAGCTGTCTCACAACAACATACAGACTGTTACACAGCAACATACATTCCGTGACACAACAACATACAGTTCATGACATGATAACATACAGTCTGTTTCACTGAAAGCTACAGTCCGTTACACAAAAAGATCCTTTTTTTTACTCCCTCTGGTATTTAGCTGCTTCAGAGTGGAAACAGTGTTTTACATTCACAACTGTCCTACTTCTGGTCACTGCTTGGATAACATGAAGAACTGGTTTGGGATTGGCCGAGAGTTCTGTCCTGTATTTCTCTACTGTCTGTTGTTTAGTACGAGGAGCTGCGGCGGATCGTGAAGAACAAGAGGAAAGGTCTGAGTGAGTTCCTGGATGCCATCAAGTACTTCAAGGCACACCCTGTGGTCGACTTCCCCAAACTAGTAAGTCAACCTGTCAGTGATTATTACCTGTGTCAGCACCTGGGGGAGACATTGTTACCTGTGTCAGCACCTGGGGTTAGTCATTGTTAGCTGTGTCAGCACCTGGGGTTAGTCATTGTTACCTGTGTCAGCACCTAGGGTTATCATTGTTACCTGTGTCAGCACCTGGGGGAGACATTATTACCTGTGTCAGCACCTGGGGTTAGTGATTATTACCTGTGTCAGCACCTGGGGTTATCATTGTTACCTGTGTCAGCACCTGGGGTCATCATAGTTACCTGTGTCAGGACCTGGGGTTGGTCATTATTACCTGTGTCAGCACCTGGGGTTATCATTATTACCTGTGTCAGCACCTGGGGTTATCATAGTTACCTGTGTCAGGACCTGGGGTTGGTCATTGTTACCTGTGTCAGGACCTGGGGTTATCATTGTTACCTGTGTCAGCGCCTAGGGTTATCATTGTTACCTGTGTCAGCACCTAGGGTTATCATTGTTACCTGTGTCAGCGCCTGGGGTTAGTCATTCGTACCTGTGTCAGCACCTGTGGTTAGTCATTGTTACGTGTGTCAGCACCTGGGGTTAGTCATTGTTACCTGTTTCAGCACCTGGAGTTTGTCATTGTTACCTGTGTCAGCACCTGGGGTTAGTCATAGTTACCTGTGTCAGCACCTAGGGTTATCATTGTTACCTGTGTCAGCGCCTAGGGTTAGTCATTCATACCTGTGTCAGCGCCTGGGGTTAGTGATTATTACCATATGTTTGTGTTAGCATCTGTGTCTTGGTGGGATTGACACACATGTTTTTGTGTTATGGCAGCTGGTTCCCCTCATGCCGGACTACCGGGATCTCATCTTCTTGGCACTGGACTACAACAAACCAGACATCGCAGAGAGACTGGCCGACCTCGGGGCTGACCTCACACAGACAGAAGTGGTATGTTGATACTGTCGCAGTATCTCACCATATTCCAGCTTAGATACTCATGTATCAGGAGGGCCTCAGTCTGTCACCTGTTGTAAAACTGCATTTGTCAGACAGTCCCAGACAGCATGGAAATGTCATCTTCTTGTAGGCCTCCATCTTCCTGAGGCAAGGGAGTAAACTAATTTGAAAAGTACCGTTTCCGCCCTTGCCGAACTAGGCTGGAACCAGTGGCTATTACAAGATATGTCCCTTCTATGTTCCCCCTACTGAAGAATCAGATTCCACCTCTCATATCACTTGAAAAAACGATCTCATCGATAATAAAGATCTTTATTGTAAATTACACAGATTTTCCCTCGTGAAGTGCATCACATCACTTGAGAACCTTGATTAAAAACATGAAAAGATTTGGAATATATCTGTTGATGCCCAATTGACAGTACACATGCTCTGCAATCAAATGAATTAATTCAGCATGGCAGTTGCCACGTTTATGATGTCGATTTGGTTACAGGATTTTGATTGGACTATGCATAGACTCATTAGTCCAGCCAAATTTTAACTCAATAATTCCTGCCTAGTTTGGCAAGGGTGGAAACTGGATTTTTAAAGTCAGTAAACCCCCTTGCCCAGGGAAGATGGTATGCCTCTAACATATGTTCAATTCTAAGAAATGCGAAAACAGTTTCTCATGACAGTTAAATGTTCTACTTTCAGTATGTGATTGACTTTGAGCCTGAGACAGAGACTGAGGATGATGAATCTGATGTGGGTTCAAACGGACGACCGCCAGTCAGTGCCGAGATCGAGATGTCTCCTGCTGACAGAGCCCGATACTTGGGACTGCCCAGTTTAGCTGACTGCATGGACAGAAAGAGGGCGTGGCAACTCCGGGAGAAGGAAGACAGCCACCCGACAGTCATGGAACAGCTCAACCATCAGTTTCCATCCATCTTTGTTACTCAGATCTTCTCTCCATCTTTGTAACTCTTGACATGTGATCTTAACATTGACCAATTTCAGGCAACTAGGCGTTGTCATCTTCCAACTTCAGGCAACTAGGCGTTGTCATCTTCCAACTTCAGGCAACTAGACGTTGTCATCTTCCAACTTCAGGCAACTAGGCGTTGTCATCTTCCAACTTCAGGCAACTAGGAGTTGTCATCTTCCAACTTCAGGCAACTAGGCGTTGTCATCTTCCAACTTCAGGCAACTAGGCATTGTCATCTTCCAACTACAGGCAACTAGGCGTTGTCATCTTCCAACTACAGGCAACTAGGCGTTGTCATCTTCCAACTACAGGCAACTAGGCGTTGTCATCTTCCAACTACAAGCAATAGTTATAAATGTGATAACCTTAAGTTTGTTGTATATTGAAACAACTTGTGATGTCTGTGATATTATGTATATGAAAGTGAAGGATCAAATATTAAACTTCAACTCTGTTTCTGTGATATTCCGTGGTATGGCTATCATCCAGGATGATTCAAGGTCCATGAGCGACTGCACATCCCCTGTCTAGTTGAAACATCCACCATCTTTGGGTTTATTGATTTTATATTTATCATAAAAGTTGTTTATCAATATAGACTGGAGATATAACACTGGATAGTCGAGGATGAACGCAGGCTTTAAAAGTTGTACTTGTCAACCACTGTGATAATTTTGAAGGGTTATTTTAAACAATATCTTGTGACAATACATGATCTCTAGTTCAAGAATGACTACAAAAAGACACGGAGGACATGTGCTTACCATAGGCAGCATGTAAGGGCTTGTCCATATTGTATGACATTGTATGACATTGTATGACATTGTATGACCTTGTATGACATTGTATATGACAGTGCTGTGCCCATGCAGCTGACCAGTGTTGCGTGTGTGTGTATGTCATGTCTGTGCTGGCATAGTGTGTTATCTTACATCTAATGTTGGACTACTGTGTGTTTTAATAATTGTAATTTTCAATTTCATATAGATTCTTTCTCAGAAAGAAATTTGCAAATGAAACATGACAAAACACGACGATATATATGTTCATTTATATTATCACGTGATAACTGTTTGATGGTTTGAATAAGTTTCTCCAAGTCTGTCATTTTCTACTTTTAGTTCAATCATTGATTGACTTGTTCAGAAATCAATTACTGCATTTTGTTGTCAAGAGAGTAGTGTTCTGACCTTCATCGCAGCATCGACCCTTACTCAGTGATAAGAATTATAAATGCAATGAGAAAATAATAAAGTGCCTGTTTTGATTCTTAGTTTCGAACTGCTGTTTTACCTTTTCCTCACACAAAGACGCTCGACTCGATGTGTTCGACAGAGTTACCTCCCATCTACTAATCACGGACTGGGCATTCAGCATTACGGCCACTTTATCAGTAATCTGAACGTTCTTTATTATGAAATCACATTATTAATTGACCCAAATCAAGATAACATAATGATCACGTTCCTTGAATTTCTTTCCTATAAAATATGACTTGGCAAACGTTCCCGAAGTTTCAGAAAAGAAATCAAATACACTTAAAATTCAGGACAAAATTAATTTCATTCAAGAAAAGTCTCGCCGTTAATGTATTTTTGGTACGGTGGAAATTAGAAACAAGAAATTTTGCGTAATAAATTAAAAGTCCATTCCCAAAACCTGTATTAGCTTGTTAAAGTTTGCTCAGCTCAGCTGTTTGGTACAAATGGCAGTTCAAACACTCATTTACATCGACTTTCTTCAAGCCGAGAACGCTGGTGTGTATTTCCGTGGGCAGGAAAAAGTGATATTTAGGAGACGCGCTGATGAGTTATGCCCCTGTAAATTCATCGTTATCTTACTGCTTGAGTGCCGTTTGACGGAGACTTAACGGCTTAAGGCACCCACGGCGAATCTACACGCTCCTAAACTAAACCTCAATGTGTTTCCAGTTTATGCGTTTGTGATGAGTGCATGTGTTGATGCAAGTGGACGTGTTGTTTCTTGTGCAGGGCATGTGTCCGTATGTGTGCATGATTGAAGATTCTCTATCATGTCATGGAATACGAAGTGAAACCTGGTCAGTTCAACCGTACCGTTCCTAACGAATTTCCACTTAACACACTTAACAAATACCCGGTCCAACGGATCACTCACTATACGGGGTCATTTGAATTGACGTAAATTAACAGTAGTCGTCCTTATAGAGGGGTTTCCGGAATAACGGGGTTTCACAACGGCAAGGCGTGTCACCGCCGACCTAAAGCTGCTTATCAGAAGGTCACTTTTTCTCGTATGCAAAGTCGACCTTGATTTGTTTTCCAACCCCGTGAACCTGATAAGGTCCTTTACGTTTGCTTGAATGCCTTGGCAGGAGTGGCCGTGATACAAGCGGAAGAGTAAAATTCTTAAAATCATTTGAGATGAGTTAATGTTATGAAGATTTCAGCTAGGATGCTATTTTTTGAGTGGGTGTTGTTTTACGCTGCTGACGTAAGCAATATTTCCTTGTATCATGGCGACCTGTATATAAATGGTCTGGGGTATTAACCAGGGCGTGGCTGATAGCACGAGACACGAACCCCTGGGGTACGATAACACAATCCCAATAACAACCCGTTCACATTCAGTCGACTCTTAACAAGCATGGGGGGGGGGGGGCACGGGTGGCCCAGTCGTCTAAGGCGCCGCGATTCGCTGTGCAGAGTTGCGTCCCCTGGACACGCCAGAAACCTATGGTTGTGGGTTCGAATCCCGGTTCACCCCGATTATGTTTCTAGGTTTGTCAGCACCATACCCGTACTCGTGGGTTTCACCGAAGTGGTAAACGTCTGAGACCTGCATCACTTCGGGCTTTCCTCCCACATTAAGCTGACACGCCGCGATATAACTGGAATACTGTTAAAAGCGGCGTTAAACCCAACTCACTCACTCACTCACTTAACAAGCAAGGGCTGACGGGAACTACCTAATCTCATGCTCTTTTGGAAATGATTGTTCCATATAAGGCAAAACAAAAGCCTATTAAGATATAACCAGAGACTTACTTTTATAGCATGTATTTGTTATCTCCGTATTAAAGTACAAAGTATGTACATGGAAGCGTCGCTGCTATGGATACTGAAGAATCATGAGGTTAAATGTTGGAATAACGTTTACTCATTCGTGACCAACTCGTGTTATTCCGGAACAAACCGAATAGCGACACGTGTCCATCGACTGGCCATTTTTGCGACTAGGTTCCATCTAAGCGCAAACGGGCATAGTTAAAAGAATTGTCAACTGTTTGCGTAATGATTCACGTATTTTCCCCCCATGTCATATATCGTCCAGATGTTATTTAAAACATTCGGGCGGTCGGGTAACCTAGTGGTTAAAGCGTTCTCTCGTCACGCCGAAGACTCGGGTTCGATTCCCGACATAGGTACAATGTGTGAAGCCCATTTCTGGTGTGCCCCGCCGTGATATTGCTTGAATATTGCTAAAAGCGGCGTAAAACCATACTCACTCACTCACTCACTAAAACATTCGGGACTATTTATACAGTATGACTGAACACCTTTAACTGTATCTAGGGTATATTTTTAATTGCAAGACATAAGTAAAATCGAAAATTATTCTTGAGGGATTCTTTGTCCGAAGTACTTCAAGGCATACGCTCATTCTGTTTGGTTTGTCGTGTTTTCGCACGTAGCATTCATCGATAGGGGGACGAGTCTTGCACGTTACGGAAAGGGGCGAGTGGTGGCGAATGAACGTTTACTCTGAAAGGCTGTTTGGGCCTATCCGGGGCATTCATCACCAATCGCCCCTTTCCGTAATCTGCAAGAAGCTTGTCCCGGAATAACACGAGTTGGTCACGAATGGATCCGAGGTGGATATCCGGGTGACAGGCTTCCCGACCCAGTGGGGATTGCCGATACATGAAGGTTCCCAGGCTGGGGGGCGTAAATGCGACTTAATGGATCGGGTGGGAGTTCGGTGACTTGGTTGATACCTCGTGTCACCGTATCCCAACGACTTGCATGGGTCGTCGCTCATAATTTCAATGACTGGTCTGTCTAGTCGAGACTAGATTATTCACAGACCGCCTATAGCTGAAATATTGCTGAGCACAGCGTTAATCAACAAACAAAATATTCAACCTTCCACACTCACGGACCGAATGACGCTCCAGTTGGAAGGATAAATCCTTAATATACAGGACATGACCCCCCAAAATAATCTGATGTTGACACGGTACGTTATCTAAGTGCTAGGTTTAAATAAACAAATAATTTGTTCAAACATTGTAATTCAAATGTTCAACCTTTCTGACACGAGGATATAGCACTGTCACACGTCGCCTCAAGGGACTGGCGCTGTCTTGTTGATTCAAGATTTGCTAATTTCGCACTCGGTATTTTTTCCACTATTTATTACCTGATAATTGTGCGATATAAGATTTATATCAGAAGTTAATCCTCCCCGCAAACCTTCTTGTATGGACGAGTCATGGAGTGCACGGCAACTGAAATACTTCAAATCGTCTTCAAATCATCAAATAGTGGCGTCTCCCGTCAGAGGGGAATGCGCGGGAATTTGACAAGCGTGCCCAGCCTCATTAACACCTGTGTCTTGCAGGGATAATCCAAGATTATCGTTTCTGACCAACCGAATGACCCCAGGATGAGATAAGTGTGAAAGGGTTGTGAAAAACGAGCTCATCTGGGTGTTAATTTGCCATTACCGGACGAGTGCTGCTAAGCTCGGTGACATGAACGTGGAATGTTGGGGTCTACGTGTCCATCATGATCAACTGCGACGTCAGTAACCTTGCACTGACCCCCCCCCCCCCCCCCCCCCCCCCGCACACACGCACTCTCTCTCTCATCGAGAGCGTCACACACACACACACACACACACACATACACACACGCACGCGCGCGCACAAATACCTATTAATTAATTTTCAGAAGATTCACATATCTCCATCCCCGAATAATCCGTCTCCGTGTAGACAGAGTCGTGTACAACTGGCGTCGTCACATTGCGCCTACACAGCCCCTTTAACAACACGTGTTGGTCTATTCGTGGTGGACACACCAACCTACAGACATGAGGGAAGACCTGTTCATACCAATTCTTGAATAAACGATTCCAATTTGACGTGGAGGCTGTAAAATATAAACTGATAAAAACTTGAATGACTCAACTGCTTTCAAAACGTTTCCGTCTACAGTGAGGTCCGCATTGACACATGCTAAACTGAATGATATATCAATAATAACCATGGACGTTTGCTTCACTGTCTCTCAACACGTCACGCCACTGTCATTGCATGTATAGCGGCAATAACGATAGTTAGGAAACGTCCTCTGTTACACAAGGTAATACACGTTGCTGTGCACATGGTATCACAGGGCCCGCGTTAAAGTTGGGTCAGGGGCGGTCGGGTAGCCTAGTGGTTAAAGCGTTCGCTCGTCACGCCGAAGACCCGGGTTCGATTCCGACATGGGTACAATGTGTGAAGGCCCCCACCGTGATATTGCTGGAATATTGCTAAAAGCGGCGTAAAACCATACTCACTCACTCACTAAAGTTGGGGCACAATGTGACGTAAGACTAAGATCCAGTTTCTGAAATGTACATAGTTTACAGAAAAAAAGCTGCTAAATAATAGCTACATAATATAATCAAAAGGAGCCCATTGACTTTCTTCATGATATCTCAGTAATCTAGACTTGCCAAACATTATAGACTTAAATGGCCTGTATTGGATATATTGTTTCAGGGTCTGAGTGACAGACTAAATGATATGTAGAAACACAGAGTAACTGTTGTTGGCACATTGAAATATAGACACAACAAAATGTAGACACAATATGACGTAGGCATAATGGGAGGGGACCCACAACGGCACCGTCTGTCATTCCTTGTTTGTAGCAGCAAAGACAGTAACGTTCTCGGAAGACATGAACTATCGGCTCTTCATGACTTCTTTCATTATAGTTTTTTTCCCAAAGCAGGAGATCAATGGTCGAAATAATAAAAACTTGAGCTCCGAAATCTCTTAAATGTATTGTCGGTAGAGTTCAAACTTTGAAAAATGAAAGAAGCGAGGCGCTTGGCGAGTTTCTTTGACTGACAAATCAAAGTGTTGAGGACTGACGATATCGATCTTCTTGGTTTTTTAGATGACAAATGTGCTAACAAGGGAAGGAACGAAACTTCTTTAACTTTAATTTGATTCTACATTTGTAAAATGGTGGATCCGTTGTTTCGTAAACCAAGAATTTAAAAAGACCCTGCTCG